AGAAAAATCAGTCTTGAGATATTTCTTGGCCCAGTCTTGACGTTTCAGCTTGTGTGTCTTGTTCAGTGGTGGTCGTCTTTCAGCCTTTCTTACCTTGGCCATGTCTCTGAGTATTGCACACCTTGTGCTTTTGGGCACTCCAGTGATGTTGCAGCTCTGAAATATGGCCAAACTGGTGGCAACTGGCATCGTGACAGCTGCACGCTTGACTTTTCTCAGTTCATGGGCAGTTATTTTGCGCCTTGGTTTTTCCACACGCTTCTTGCGACCCTGTTGACTATTTTGAATGAAACGCTTGATTGTTCGATGATCACGCTTCAGAAGCTTTGCAATTTTAAGAGTGCTGCATCCCTCTGCAAGATATCTCACTATTTTTGACTTTTCTGAGCCTGTCAAGTCCTTCTTTGACCCATTTTGCCAAAGGAAAGGAAGTTGCCTAATAATTATGCACACCTGATATAGGGTGTTGATGTCATTAGACCACACCCCTTCTCATTACAGAGATGCACATCACCTAATATGCTTAATTGGTGGTAGGCTTTCGAGCCTATACAGCTTGGAGTAAGACAACATGCATAAAGAGGATGATGTGGTCAAAATACTAATTTGCCTAATAATTCTGCACTCCCTGTACATGTCGTGCAGTTCAACCTTGTTATACATTATGTAGTTCAGTACATTATCTTTTTACTCAGCTCTTTTTTACTGTCAACCGAGGTGTATTTTTGAAGAGTACACTGAAGATAGCAATAACCGGCTGCCAGTTCGCCCTTCCGCCATTGTACCCTTTTTTTTTTTACTTCTCACCTTCTGTATCTACAATGCCTGTACCGCTCTTTTGCTTATCCGGCATACACTTGGTCCCATGTAAAGCATGGGATAAGAAAAGAGAAAGGAAAAGAGACATTAAGAAAGAGATGAGGGGGCACTGGAGCGCGCGACGGGGAACAGTGGTGGCCGGTCCTTAACGCTTGTGACTATGTTGCATTCCTATTGGCTCTGTCTATGGCGACTGTCTATCTAGTCTCCTGGCTCCTCATGGGCCTCCTCTCACTCACCTCACTGTCCCAATGGACTGTTATCCCAGGGTTCCCATATTTTTTGGAACGCTACTGTGGTGCCCTTCACCCTCGCTGTTAGGTCATCCATTAATCTGCTATCTTTGATCCTAGAAAATATTTAGGTAAAACTTGGTCCCTCCGGCGATTTCCAAAAACTATTTATAGTTGGGCATTCCTACTACATATGTATGTACGTTCCTCTACTACCGCACCCCTTCCAGCAGTCATCTGTGTTTATTTTATGCATTCTTAAAAGCTTCACTGGGGTGGTGTACCATCGGAACATGGTTTTCCACGCCTGCTCCTGAAGCGTCACGCACATTGATGTATTTTTGTTTGCTTCCCAGATTTCCTGCCATTCAATTCCTTCCAGGAACTCGCCAAGGTCCCACTCCCACTGGTCTGTGTAGGTCAGTCTGCCCCACTCTGTGTTTTCGGAGCTAAGGTGGGCATACATCAGTGTTATTAAACCCTTAGGTGCTTTCTCTGTTGTGCACAGCTTCTCGAAGAAAGTCAGCTGTCTGCAGGCTGCTATTTTGATGTGGGGGCGGTTGGTGAAGTCTCTGAGTTGCACGTATCTGAAGAAGTCAGAAGGTGTTAAATGATGATGTTGCTTAAGGTTCTCAAACTGTACTATTTATCCCCCCTGGAACATGTGGCCTATCCTCTGTAGACCTATCCTTTCAAGATTGCGTAATTCCCTCACTGCCATACCCGGAGGGAAGGCTCTGTTTCAGAGCAGCGGCATTAGGGGGGACGGGGAGGAGGCCAGGCCGTATTTGTCGCATCCCATATACGTATTGCATTCAATATTGCTGGGCATGTCGCCCTTATCAAAAGGTCTGTGTTCCCTTGGTACCCACATCGTAAACTGTGGGATGTCCGATCCCACCATGAGAGCCTCTATGTCTACCCATTTCCGTTCGTCTGGGGGGGTGGGAGTGCCACATCACTACCTGAGCCAGTTGGGCTGCTAGGTAATAAAAATAAAGGTTCGGTAGGCCTAGTCCCCCTCTGTTTTTTCTCCTGTACAGAACCTGTCTACAGATCCTATGTCTCCTGTTCTGCCATATGAAATTCCCTATTACTCGTTGTAGATGTACCAATTGTGTTTTTGTAATGCGTATGGGCAGCGTCTGAAACAAGAAGAGGATACGTGGGATAATATTCATCTTGACTGAATTAATTCTTCCTATCCACTTTTCTAAGTCCCCTATCAGTGTTCTGAGCATCGGCATGTAGTTTGCCGCATATAGCGTGCTTGGGTCCGCTGTCAAGTGTATTCCCATATATTTTAGGGAGTCTGTTTTCATTCGCACACGATGTGTGTCTCGCAGCCGGGCCACATCTTCCGGCATCATCCCTACTGGTAAGGCACTAGACTTAGTGATGTTTGCCTTGTACTATGACATTGATCCATATTCCTTTATCATGTCCTGTAGTCCTCCCATCGAGTTTGTTAGGGTCAACAAGACATCATCCGCATAGGCGGAGACCTTGAACTCGTTTCCTCCCAACATTACTCCCTGTATATTCGGGTGTCTCCGTATCGCTTGTAGGAAGGGCTCCAGAGCCAGCACGCTGACTTGGTGGGGTGCTGCGTGGGCAGAGACCAGCGGCACTCTGCCCTGTTGCCAGCGCTACTGGGAGGGTAGCCTGGTTGAAGCCTGGTTGTTGGAGAGGGAGACCGACTGTCTCCCCTTTAGATACACAGTCCTGCTGCTGGAGACCGACTGTCTCCCCTTTAGATACACAGCTCTGCTGCTGGAGACCGACTGTCTCCCCTTTGGTTACACAACTTATGTACATTTTATTTTCTGGGGGTGGGTGAGGGGGTGAGAAATATAACTATTTGGCATGCAAAACTATTGCCTAAACAAACAATGAAGTCCATACGTCTCCCACTCCGAACTACATACCCCATAACAGAGCGAGCGTATTTAAGGGCCTGTTGGCAAGTCCCCTGAATTTTCGGCCAGCTTCTATGCTTCCAAGCCCCACACCAACCTCCGCACGGAGTGGGCTGAGTGGGTTATTAATATTGCTCCCGCAACAGTATTTAGGCCGGGTCCATTAACTCCTAGGCCCCCCCGCAACCCCATTGAAAACTTGCTCCCTCACCTTGGGGATTTCTGTTCCCTTCTCTCATGGCGACCCATAAGCATTCCCCCTGAGGCCCGCTGCCCTCCCACAGAACGTCTCCCCGGTCCAGGCCAAGTAAGCTCCCCGGCCCCCACCCCTGGATAGCCCCTCTGTGCCCTCTGCTGGTTACAGGACCATGCTCCGTCAGTGCTGGCCTCTCGCTCCTGCCAATCTGTCAGCAGCTGTGGCAATTCAGGTGGGCGCATCTCCACGTTAGGGAGGTCGGTAGGGGGCTGAATTCCCAGGACCCGGAAGAGCCACTGTGGGTCACCTCCTGGTGTTAGGATGTGTGTCCGGTCCCACTGGAACGCCATCAACTTGAACGGGAATCCCCAGCGTAACGGACTCCCGCTTTCCTCAAAGCTGCAGTGATAGGCCTCCACTCCCTTCTCCGTTGCAGAGTGGAGGGGGCCAGGTCCTGATATAGCGATACTTCCACGCCCTCGTAATGGATGGGCCCCTCTCTTACTCTCCTCATGAGGGCTTCCTTGGTGTCAAAATGCAGGAACCTTATAATAACGTCCCTTGGGGCATTTGCTTCGGCCCTCTTAGCGCGCAGGGCCCTATGGAGCCTATGTGCCAACGGTCGTTGGGAAGGTCGGACAGGAGAGGCTGCAGTATCTTGAGCACCAGCTCTTGCAAGCCTCTTTCATCCCTGTAACGGACCATTTTGCACAAAAGGGAAAAAAAAACGCTGAGACGATAATCCCCTTTCAGAGACAGGCACAGCTACTGTAGAATCACCAAAACTCACGAACTGAATACAAGTGAATGCTCCAAACTCCCGAACGGCATACAAGGGAATGCCCCAAACACTCGAACTGCATACAAGTGAATGCTCCAAACTCCCGAACGGCATACAAGGGAATAAGATAGCACTCCAAATACACGAACAGGAACCATACGAATTGCTGCTACCAGACGAACAGGAAAAGCTCCCAAGCGGCTTACACTCCTGGCAATCAGTCCTTAGCAGCATACAGTAAATCCCCCAAAGACGAGACAGAGCTCCGTGTTGAGGGTCAAGCAGTGGTCTGTTTAATGAGGGCTACCTGCCCAGTATTTATGCAGGTCTCCCACCTGGTGGACACTCCCCTAGGGGACCAAATGGGAGACTGTGACAAACAGACAAGTAGACAAATAGGACACACAGTCACAATATATTCCCACAATGCATCCTGGCTTCCTCCCCTCTGCCCTGGGAGATAATTGGGAAGTAATTAAATTATCTCCCAAGACAAAAGCAAAACTCCATTACACATGTGGGGATACAAAACCAGTATTATACTTTAAAATACATAAAGTAACATTTATTACATAAAACACAGACATGTAACATATCCCCAGATAGCTCAGGTCTGAGCGCACATTATTAAGCGAATGGCGCTCAGACCACACGAATACAGTTTAATCGCCATGGAGCCAAAGTCTTTACAGTCAGTTTCATACGAATGGGCTCCATGGGATTCCTATCTGGGGTATAACACATTCAACCAAAACTACAGAACACCGGGCCGTTCGTGCACTTCCACCGAACAAGAAGGGAGGTCGGCGGCTTCAGCGGTGTTCGCGCAAAACTGTGTCCGATTTTAGTTCCATGAAAATAGGGGCGAACACCGCTGTGCATTCGTATGTTTAAAATGGCCGCGACCTCGTGTTCGGGATACGAATGGCGGCCACCCAGCATTCGTCAATTAAGTTGCGGTTAACCGCAGCTTCAGGGAGGTTAATTGCCAGCACACTCCAGCTCCCAGGTGGTCTATTCATTCGTGCGGTTGTTCGGTAGATTGAATCTACCGAACAACTGGCAGAAAAGCACGAATACAGCTTTTCTTCAGGCGAAATAAAGTCTTTTAAAAGGGGGCCATAGTCCAGAGGCAGCAGGCGAGCAACCAGGCTTCCCCAATGCAATGTGGCGAGATTGGTCTTGTCACAATCCCCTTCTGGCAGTCCCCTCAGTCTTAAGTTATTACGCCTCGACCTGTTTGCCATGTCCTCTAGGGCCAGGTCGGCTTCAGCCATGTGGGCGGCCATCCAGTTTACTTGGGCCACTAGGTCATTGTGTGACTGGGGGTGGGCCTCCACACGTTCTTCCAGCCGTGCGGTACGGGTTCCCAACGTCTGAATTTCAGCCTGGAGCACAGCGGTTGATCTTGCGATTTCACCCACGAGGTAAGACCGGACCTCTGTTAACCTGGCCAGGACCTGATCCTGATCTTTCAATGAAGCTTCCTTGGCAGCGCGTGGTGATGTTCGGGGTGACTCCGCTCCGCCATCTTGTCCCTCGGGCTGTCCGTGTTTCTGGGCCGACATGAGATCTAGTACTGTGTTCCCAGCTTCAGACCCTTTCTTGGGTTGCTTTTTGGGGAGTCTTTTTTCCATTTCGGATAATTTAGTATTATTAGTTCGCTTTTGTAGGCTTTAGTAAGGCGCTTGGAGAGCGGAGCTCTAGCAAGATGCGTCCAGCTATCTCTGCGATCAGGCCACACTCCCCGTCCATTGGATCTTTAAGGCCGGAAACTTCACCTATTGGAATGATTGTCTTTTTAGAAAGTCAAACTACCTGTATGTCTTGCCTTGGACTAAAAGCTCTCCTTTACGGATTTTCCCATTCTCTGTACATTAGGTTAATCAGTTTCTTGTGAACTGGAAAAAAAAAAAATTCCGTAGATTTTGAGGTAGATCACTCAAAATCAATGATACATCCTTCATAAATGTTCTCAGCTCGTCTGGTGGGAAACCCATCTCCACACTAGATGACGAATCAGAATGTTCTGAGTAAACAAAGTGCTGAGCATTCTCCCGCACTAGATTAAGATTTTATCCTTTTATGTTTCTTACTAGCTATAACATGAGCAGCTACTGGAATACTTTATCTGGCTGCTTCCTAAAAAAGAAAAAAGGTTTAAGCCAAATTATCTTGGAACCAAAAATTAAAAGACTGCATATCTTTCTGCTTGGATTTTTCCAGACTCTCACTGCAGCATAAACTTTTCTGGCTACCTCCATTCGCTCTGTAACTCCCGCAGGAGCCGGGTTACTCAGCATACCAACCGGGCAGCTGACAATTTTCCCGTGGCAACATCTCATGTACCTCACCACCCGAACAGACTACCTGTCCGTCCCGTGCTGGGACAAGAAGAACTGGTTAGTAGTGGACCATGGGGGAATATAAAGGGAGAGTGGGAGGAGCAAGTTTGATCATTTTAATATCTTACAGGCTACGTGTCCCAGCATATGGAAATACAATCCATCTGTGTACTGCTACCCTATGCTAGAAAAAACAGATTAACATAAAACCTCAAATTTCTCATTGTATAGGTCTATTGGACGTATACCAATGTATCTAGCATTGCAGTGTATATCTCCTATTACATGTGAACATTAAAAAAAAGGTTTTATAAATAAATCTCACACATGCAGTCTGTATAATTGCGGGCAGTAGCATTAATGTGCTCAATGTGAGTATGTCAACTTATGCACAGATTGACTGAACTTTATAATTGTGAAGATAAGACAAGGGAACTATTGTTCTCTCTTTTTTTAAATTTTGACGGTTTTGCTCTTGTATTACAGGTTACAGATGCTTTGATTATAGAGTGACAGGAAACTCCTGATACCCATATATCCCTTCAAGACTCAAATACAACCTTACATGCATGTGCGCGCGCACACACAGCCAATTTAAACATTGTAGCCCATTGTACACGAGTATGGAATATTTTTGCAATGATGGAATAAATGTTAGTGATAAAATTCAAAAAAGAAAAAGTGCTGGGATGTCAAATATTTACTTATCCCGATCATTAGGACTCAAAGAACCTCAAAAATGCAAATACAATACCATTAAGTACTTTACAAAAAGTACAATGCAAAATGTATAACATTTATATTTAACCCCAAGAGCATATTCAGGCAGTCAACAGAAAATAGCCTTTAATGATATTCCTCTCCCTACATCCTTGACCTGAACCAAATTTAAAATGCATCCTTGTGTTGCTAGGATTTTAGAACCGACCATAAAAACAGTTTACACATTTCATGGAATTATACAATAACAGAAGCTAGCAATCGGCCAATCAACTTTGCTTTTAGGAAAGCTGTACCTATTATAAAAAAAATGTTCAGTGTTAAGGTTTAAACTCTACATGGAATGACAATCCCTCCCCAACATAAAACCTGGTATACCTATCCTTTATATTTACAATTTAGTCATGTTCATTGAGACTATTAAAGTGATTAATGGAACATAAAATTATATATATATATATATATATATATATATATATATATATATATTTTTATGTTTAAAAAAAAAAAAAAAAGCCTCATCAGACCAGGACAAAACGTGAGGAATAAACTGAGAAATTAATCAGCAAGAAGCAACATGTGCCACTTAAAGGTCACACCACTAAATAGTTCCATGTTTTGTTGAGGACTACATTTACAGCAGGGATCTCAAACTCTAGCCCCCTACAACATGATGGTATACATCTCCTGGAATTATTTGAATGCGTCAGATGGCCACAGAATCTTCGGAGTTGTAGTTGGAACGGTTGAGATGCCTTGATTACAGAGACACTAATAAATTATACAGTTCTCCACGGCGACCCTGAGGAATACTATTGTAGATTGCAATTTCTGCACAACAAAAATGCTTATCAATTCCTGATCACTCCAATCTGCTATGAAAAACCATTTGATTTAAAAAAATCTTTTAAAAAGTATAAGCTTGGAGAAAACTAAAATATATTTGTATTTATATTTTAGAAGCACCCTAGATTTCCATTAAAATGTACTGTATGTGCACCATAATAATTCCATCGAAATGAAGTTGTTTTGGTGCCCAGAGGTCACAGGTGCTTTCTTACTTGAAGAGATTAAAAATCAGTCAGTCATTCTCAAAACGGTTTAACCTCAAAAGTTGCTCTCCAGTGCTGAGTGTAACCGGGCACGGGCATCGCAGATTGGTTAGAGTGGTCAGCTGATGCTTTAAGCCAGTCAGTAGCTGCCCCTTCATAAAAAAAGGTGTGTACAAGTAGGTATAAACTTTAAAGTATATTATATATACACACAGTGTAAATATTACTGTATATTGAGAAAAGATGTGCTGGAAAGGCCACTGTTGAATCCTGCTGCCAGCCATCATTTTATAGAAGTAATGTAACAATGTACGATAGGATGCGGTTTTAAGCCATCAACAACATTCGCTCATAAAATGATATGGAAAACAAATGACTGGAAGGTTAGAAGGTTCCCATCCCACGGACAAACTTAACATTACAATCTACACTGTTCTGTAAAATTTCAAGTAGCACTGAAATGATGCAAGTTATAGAATGAAATGACCATCATTCTCCTACATGGTAACTGAATGTCCTGACGTCTACAATTCCATATTTCGATTATGCCTTGTATAATGTTAAAATACAGACTCTGAACATTATCATGTATTTTTCTGGAGTAAGAGATTAGAGCGGATTATGGAAATTAAAAAAAATGTGCATTTTAAGCAGTATGAAGCTAAAAAACACACACAAAAAAAGTTTACACTGAGAGGATTATGGGACATTTTCACAAGATTCCTTAACACTGAATGGGTTAGCACAAGAAATAAACTAGCAAGTTAATGAAAAATGCACGTAACCTGATATATCTTAAAAAAAAACATTGCAAAGGAACACGACCAATGTCCTCTTTCATACCAATTTCCTCCTGTTTATTTTCCTGCCTGCAAATAATTTAAATTTTGACAGCTGGTGATCTAAACATTTTTTTTTGTACATGATCTCATTTGGATCTTTAAACTCCCCCACTTAAGCTAAACCACATGAGTTAGAGAGGGGCTTACTTTACATTTAATAATAATAATAAAAAACAAAAGAAAAACACAAACACAACATAGTTGAAACAAATCGGTCAGTAGCTATATCAGTTAAATAAAACGTGTGCAAAGGAAGATGGAAATGTAAAGTCATATTCACTTTTCATTGAAGACCATGAAAAATAGGTTTTAGGAGAGTTGTCCACAACCTGGTCAACATCCCAGGATCATAAAGGGACATCAGCGAAGTGTTAGAAACACTTTCGAGAGGTATGATACAAACGTCCACTGGAGTTTAATAAGTCTAGACATTAGATTTAGGGGCTGAATTGAGAGGAATTTCATTGAGTTCAGTTCGCATGCAGAGATACTCTCCAATGACTGCCATTAAGGCAATACAGACAAGGTTCAGAAGCCACCAGGTGATTGTAGCAGGGAGACGGGAGATATAAAACCAACATCCAAACAGGTGAAACATGTGGACTGTCACGGTAAAATCCAGGCACTGCTTTCCTCTGCGGATAAAATACAGCAAGCCCAGAGCACAAGTGAGAGAGTTCAGGATGAAAGCCATCATGGAGACTCTTCCAGAATCGGATGAAAATCCTAAAATCTCATAATTAAATATCTGGTCGAGGGAAGGGCTGTTTGCCGTCAGTAAGTCCAGGGCTGCAAGCCAGAGTCCCAAGGAGCCATAGTAGATGCATTGCATTAAGGCGATCTGGGATACGATAAGGACTGGATCCCATATATAGCTGCGGAATTGTCCAGCCATTCTTAGAAGACCGTTAAAAAGCAGTAATACCAGGGGAAGTTTCACCGGCAGTTATCACTGAATGGGAGAAATAAAATATGTATTTTTTTTAAAAGCACATTTTAATACATAAAGATCAATCACATTTTTACAAAACCTAAAACTTGTGGCAAACTTGACAAAATGAAAACAACTGACTTCGCATTACTTAATTATAAAGTTTGACTACATTTCATTTCTAGGACTATTTGATTATGGTTACGAATATCCATTTATTGATATATTACTAACATACCTCTAAAGTGTCATACTTAATGAGGAATAGTCAATTTCATAACAAGAAAAACAAAACAAATACGCAAGAAAAAGCTTAAAATGTATGAATTACACATTAAAAGGCAATGTACTATTTGGTAGACAAAAACATAAAATTGGCTAAAAAAGACTAAAAAAATTCTAAATAAATGTTTCTTTCCCTCTAAAATACACTGAATTTTTACCTGGTATAAATCGTTTTGTTGGTCCTAGGGTTTCCCCCCCTAACATAGCAATAGTGAAATTAAGTGGTAATTACAACACCAGTATGAAAGGAAGCTGATAACTGCAATGTTTAAATGACCTTTGACAGAAGGTCAAAATTGTGATACCAAAATGACATGACCTATGACCCACTTGGGGCATCACCCATCCTGCTTTTTAAACAGCAGATAGAAAAGCGGACATGTTTGTTTTTTTTAAATTTAAAAATCAGTTTTTTTTTTTTTTTAAATCTCTTAATACAATGATCGAGCGGTCTAATGTAAAGATAGTTTTTCATTTAAAGGACCACTATAGTGCCAGGAAAACACACTTTTTTTCCTGGCACTATGTAGTGCCCTGAGTGTGCCCCCACCCTCAGGGTCCCACTTCCGTGGCGCTGAGGGGGGAAAGAGGTTAAACTTACCTCTTTCTCCAGCGCCGGGCGGGGAGCTCTCCTCCTCTTCGGCTGAATGCGCATTCAGCCAGTCTCATAGGAAAGCATTTATAATGCTTTCCTATGGACGCTGGCGTCTTCTCACTGTGAAAAATCACAGTTAGAAGCACGCAAGCGCCTCTAGCGGCTGTCAAGAGACAGCCACTAGAGGCTGGATTAACCCTAACATAAACATAGCAGTTTCTCTGAAACTCCTGCTATGTTTATAAAAAAAAAGGGTTAACGCTAGCTGGACCTGGCACCCAGACCACTTCATTAAGCTGAAGTGGTCTGGGTGCCTATAGTGGTCCTTTAAGATATATTACAGTCCAACAGTTTTTCAGCATGAAATATAGATTAGTTATGCATGAAGCTATTTTTGTGCTATATTTACATTTTTTTATTAATTCTTTTAATCCAAGTTAAAATGAAACCTGTATCTGCAGAGGGTACATGCACTTTTTCCACATCAAAAATGTTATACAATCTTCAGAAACATAGATACAACTTAGATACAACATATCCACCAACTGTATAGAAATGGGGAAGTCATACAATTCGAAGAACTCCAACAAAGTAATCATTTAACCCCTGCAGATTTTTTTAGAAATATCCAGATACGAGACTTCGCTAGAAGACCCCATATTAAAAACAGCAGCCCAGGGAAAGCTATCTTTTTACGAGAGATTATGTATGGATGGAACCGCCCCCAAAGGCATGATCATGCTTCTCTATGCCCATATTAGCACCGAAACAAAAGAATGGGGTAGATTGAAGTACACTGATCAATGGGAAGCGGACCTAGGGGAGGAACTGGAAGGAATTGAGTGGCAGGAGATATGGGAAGCAAACAAGAACACTTCCATATGTGTCACGTTACAGGAGCAGGCATGGAAAACCATGCTCAGGTGGTATAATACTCCCGTGACATTACACAAAATGCGTACGATAGACACAGACGATTGCTAAAGGGGCTGCGGATTACGAGGCACGTACATCCATATGTGGTGGGAATGCCCGAAGATACACAGCTTTTGGGAGTCTGTAGAGGACCTGTTGAAACAGACGTTAAGCAAACCTTTGGTTAGGGACCCATGGATCTACCGGTTAAACAGATCAATTGAGGGTTGGACTAAAAAAAGAGCAGAAACTGGTACACACGATAACTAAGCGCACGCAGAGCAATAGCAACGGCATGGCTCTCACCTGGGGGACCGGAATTTCGAGGGGTGATATCCAGGATAAGAGAATGCAGAATCATGGACGACCTGACGGCAAGGATAAAGGGGACGACCGTAACTTTCCAAAGGATTTGGGAACCATGGGACAATAGTTTAGTGGGCTCTAGTGGGGACTGAAGGGATTGGTAAGTAGTAAAGTTGGGGCCTAGCAACACAGAGCCCCCATGGTGATCTAGACTCTAAAGGCCTCGTACATCCATATGTGGTGGGAATGCCCGATCTAGACTCTAAAGGCCTCGCTCGCCCCCCCCCATCCCCACCCCTCGCTCATCTTGTTTCTTTTTTCTTCCTATTTTCCTCCTCCTCTCTTTCGACTTTGCTACTTTTCTCTTACCTTGCTTCTTCTCATTTCACTCCTCCCCGACCCTCTTTGCTTTTGTCTGTTTTCACCCCTTGGTTTACAGGGGTATTGTTCTTCTTCCTATTCTTTTTTCTCCATTTCTCAACATTTATTTTTTCCCCACCCAGGCATCATTACACTGTCGATGAAACGAGGATGCCTAAAGACGAAACTGGCCTGTGTAGAGCTAGGGATCCTTATTAAGCTAAATTGCCTGGATTAAACATAAAATCCTCGATGGGAGGCAGGGCACAAAGGGATTAAAAAGAGGCATGTCATGTAAGCTCATGTTATATATTGCATGTCTAAGAATGTCCTCTTAAATATTGGCTTCTGCGCAAGCCCGAAAGTTGATTTGTGCCCGCTATACCTATCGTATGAAAAATAAAGAATTAAAAAAAAAAAAAAAAAGTTATACAATACAAGTTCAGAAAGACCTTAATCCGATTATTATTCTGCAAATTGAAGTAATTTAACGTAAGTTGTTCTCCAAACGAGTGATTAACCTATTGCATTGGAGATAGACAATAAATTATTGTAAGGTGAACTATGTATTTCTAATGATATATAACAAAATCAGTTCTGATAGATCTGTTAAACTTATCTGAAAAGGTATTATTCCAACTGTAAATTCTTCATCTGGTTGCAAATATTATAGGTTATAACAATCAGCAAGAATGTGTAAAAATCATGATTTAAATGGTGTCTTACTGTCTAAACTGTGATTTAATTTAAATCCACCCTAAATCTCAATAAAGAATCCATAAACAAAGCATTTGTATTTTTACACAATCATATGTGAAACCTCAATACATAAGCGTTGCCATCTAAACTAATAGCAAATGTACCAAACACTAGGTTAAATAAAAAGGCATTACAAAGCATGCCCATGTAATTCACATATGGTCCAGTCTATACAGGTGAGCGTTTCCACTGCAAGTCGGTCCGCCAGGGGGCATGCGAGGTTTAGACCGCAGTGACACAATGACGTTTTTCTGTCCGCCAATCAATGGATTGGATCGCATAACGTCAGTAGCTCCGCCCTAACCGTACCATTTTCCTATGGACCTACAACTGAAGGGGGCCCAGGAGTGTTGCAGTTTGGTTCGGTTGTATAGGACCCTTTTATAATGGAAACACCTAAAATAGCATACCAAACCGTACCGCTCAGTGGAAATGGGGATATACTGGTACAACCTATAAGGATTACAGTATCACCCTGCACGTAGAATTGTGTAACACAGGTGACTGATAGGTAACATATGACGGGCCTTAGAATGGCCGGACTAACGTACCAAAGAATAGTCAGGATTAGCCGAGGTCAGGGGATACAGAAAGGGACACAACGATAAGGTAAAGCCATGAGTCAGGGATGCCAGAAAACAGGGAAGTCAGAATCAATGCCAAAGTCAAATAACCAGAATCAATAACGTGCTCTCGGACAACCACTAGGGAAACCATGACAGGGCAATGAGTGTTGGGTATAATGAGGTTTAAATACCTGTACAAGTCTTCCAAATTTGTCAATCACGTAAGCGGACATGGGGGTATATTTGGCCGCGGATCCGCAGCGGCCAGCATCCATTAACATGCCGCAAGTGTCATTCATGCAGGCGCACGGCAACTGGTTGCAGAGACCGCAAGGTGAGGCAGAATATATGTTACACAACCAGGCAGGAAAACTGATTCTGCAAGATACTACCAAACAAATGCAATCACTCTATTAAATAAACACAATTTTTCAAAGACATGGAAAAGAAAGGTGTTCACTGAAAGTCACGGGCAGTTGTGACAATACAACCACTTTTATTTTGTCAAGGATGTCAATTTTCAAAAACCTCTGACCTCACTGGAAATGGAAGACTATTAGGCAACATTAACAGGCTTCAGGTTACACGCATCTGTTAAAAAAAATACTGTAGGGAAGATCAAGCAATAATCGTTGCCAGGTAATTCCAACACAGAAAACACACTGCTTCACTCGTTTTATTTGTGATTAAGGAGGTAACCTGGATTAGCCTTCCAGGAAAAAAAAAAGAAGCTCAGTAATGACGATCAAGAAAGATTTAGATGTGCTGATGCAGCATTATAGAACGCCAGTGACTCATGACGTGTGAATGATAGCTACATGCTTGCAGGGAAATCAAGGACTGCAGAACAATTACAGTTATAAGGAATACATGACAATATGTTTGTATAGGGATATTATCACCCCTCATTCTTTCCTGGTACGCTCCCCTTTTATCACTCCCTTAACTACCAAATTATTTGCACTGTTCTAGAGATGACAAGAATGGCAGACACTTTTTGACATTCCATATACACTCAAAGTATACTTTCTCTAAAACTAAAAACAAAACAAAAACGATTTAACGGGAAAATATTTTTGGGGTGATATCAATAGTTTCCATATTTTAGATGACAGTACGTAAGAACAGTGGCTTCTTATCAATTGGTATTTAGAGTTTTTCTTACCCTGCAATTTGGAAGCACTTTTCACAGTTTCAAGAACATAAAAACTCCCTAGCATGTCAAGTCCATGAGTATTTTATATATAAACCACACATGAAGACTATGGCACATATGCATGGATTTAAAAAAGCAGGGGTGGTTCCAATTCCAGAATTTCAACAGCAAACGCTAAACTTACCTGACAGTGTGCAAATAAGTAGAAATACAAAACAGAACAGTGTAAAATAAAATACTCAAAAACAAATTTAAACCATTGGGGCATGACAGACCACAACATCGTGTATATAAAAAAACAAACAAACAAAAAAAAAAACGCTGGTGTAATTCTTGGACAATGGGTGATATTTGAGAACTTATGGTGTTCATCACGGAGGTCCACACTGATGTATAAGCATACATCTGGCTTCCAAACTACTTCGATGAGAAGAGCCAAGGTCCAAAGTTACCACCTCCCCCCCCTCAATCCCCCAGGTCATCACTCCCCTCCCTTCAATCCCCAGGTCTATCACCTCCCCTCAATCCCCAGGTCTGCCTCCCCTCAATCCCCAGGTCTATCACCTCCCCCCTCAATCCCCCAGGTCTATCACCTCCCCCCTCAATCCCCAGGTCTATCACCTCTCCCCCCCCCTCAATCCCCAGGTCTATCACCCCCCCTCAATCCCCAGGTCTATCCTCCCCCCTCAATCTTTCAGGTCTATCACCTCCCCCTCAATCTCCCAGGTGTATCCCCCCTTTCTCCTATAAGCTATGTGAGGTGTGCTGTAATACAGTGTGAGCTGTCACTGTCAGAGGACATGTTTAATTCATACCAAGCTCGGTGTGCTGTGATATCCCACCCCCCTCGCACAGTGAAGGAGGCTCCAATGACCGAACACGAGCTCCATTCTTACCGCATCCTGGCTGCCCGGCTGGGGAGGAACACGGCGAGCGGGTTGATCACCTCTGGCGGCAGTTCCGGCCTCCGCACTCCACAGCGTTCGCCATCACACCAGCTGGCGGAATACGTCACTTCCGGTCCGGTCAGCCTGCGTCTTTCCCCCTTACCGGAAATAACGTCACTTACAGGCCCCTCCCCCTGGCATCCTATGTCTATGGTATTAGCCATGAAACCTGCCGCTAGCAGCTAGCGCGATGTGTACAGCGGAAGTGACGTCTGTACTGGCAACCCTGTGCCTGACGCATCCCAGTGTTCCGCCCTTTTTTGCTGCCCCACTTCCGCCATTGCCTGCGCAGCGGTTTATCCCTCCTCCTGCCGCTGGGTGGCCGCGGTGCCTGACGGGAAGGCGGATCCTGTAGGAAGGGGCCGTGTATGTGTGTACAGCTCGCTTCCCTGAGCCCGGTGTTACCTGGGGGGGGCTGTCAGACCAGCTGGAGCAGTGCGGGGGGATCCGGTGCTCGCCATGAGAGGCTCCCCTGGGCTGTGCGGCCCGGGGCTAGGCAGCAAGGTAAGGGGCAAGGCAGAGGCCGGCCGGGTGGTTGGCTGACAGGCTGGCTGGGTGGGTGGGTGGGTGACAGCCATGGTTCGTGGCTCTGGCTAACCTTGACCGAGCAGGTGTTTGGGAACTACATTACCCACAATCCACCACCCACTGTAACACCGCGAAATGCATTGTGGGATTGTAGTCTCTGAACATTTGGAGCTCCAAGGTGAACTATCCCCGGTCTGTATTCACCAAGGCTGAGCCCTGCCATGCCAGCTCATGTGGATTGCTTGTCTAGGCTGACTGGCTGAGCATTATGGGAAAACACCACAACTACTGCAGAGCAGACATGGTATTTATTTATTCATGAATTAATATACAGTCTGACAGACCCACCATACACTCTGTGTCACTATACCCCACCCCCTCTAGAATGTAAGCTCATATGAACAGGGCACTCAGTGCATTCTGTGCCTGTGCATCCAGCTTGTCTGGTTAATTTGTTTGCACTTTATAAATAATAATAATAATAATCTGTCAGACACCTACAAAATCCATCTAACCATGCTATAGTGCTACTGCTAAAAGACCCCAAAAAATGCTTGAAATTTGAATTTGAGCCGTAAATATCCCGTTTAGACGCTCAAAAGGGTTTATTCACTAAAATCTGATATGTAGCTATGTCGAAATGGCAATGTTTGCGTGAAAATAGCCAGCGGTGTGGTTATATGCTTCAAGAATTATTCCAGATCAGCTGCTGTTGCGTACATTTTAATAATTTGGATTTCACTTTTCTACAGTTCGGAGTTAAGCGACTAACCCTGACATGGATAGTTACTGAATGTGAACTGTGGGGGAACTCAAAAGTAAAAAAAAAAAAAATAGCTGCATTGGATGTGTAATGAGTCGATTGCTGAAATATAGTGTATTTTTGGTTTTATAACTTCTGGTACAACAAGACAAATCTGTTATTGCGGACGTAATTAATGTAGAACGACTTTGGAATCTTATTTTTTGTGTGTGTGTGTGTGTGTGTAACTATCCCAGTGTATATTATTAAAGTTTTAACTGAACCATTGGCTTTTTAAATACTTTTTTTCTCAAAAAAAAAAAGAAATAGGTGAGAGTTCTAGGATCACTGACACTTTTAAATATGGTAGTCCAAATGTTAATTTTAATATTTCTTTAACATGTATTGTGTAAATGAAGGTTTTTTTTTTGGTGCCATTTTTCTTATATGAAATTACTCTATTCTACTATAAAATTGTTTACTGTAAATCAGAAACATTGACCTCTGCTCCAGCAGATGTTCATTATTTTAATGCAATAAATGTCCAGAGGTGGTTGTGGTACAGTAACACCCGGAGGCCAAAGTTTTAGAAACCTGCTGTAAATTATGCCTACATATAAAATCACACCGATATTCTATACAGATTGGTTATAAGCATTAATTTCTGTATTATTATTTTCTTTCACATCAATTACATTGTAAGATTTTAAACTTGGTGCCTTTTAACTGTCTTGGAATACTTGGATAGGATTATTCTCCCGACTCTTTCAGAAGATCAATTAAACCATCTGAATCAACTATTTGGTATAGAGGAAATTAAATCTGCCGTAGACCATTTGAACATAGCCCCAGGCCCAGATGGGTTTAAAAATCTATTTTTTAAGATTATTGAAAGATAAATTGGAGTATAGACTACTGAAGGTGTTTAACTCTTTAGACTCTGTGTTAGATTACCCCCCCGAAAAGATTTGAGCTAACATCATTCCAAAGTCAAACAAAGACTTAATGCAGATAAGCAGCTATCCCAATCTTGTTATTCAATGTTGACTCTGTTATATACAGTATGTTTAATCTTGCAACAAGGTTTAAGGATGTAATACCGTGCCCGATTAATAATGATTAAGTAGGTTTTATTGCTGGAAGAACATCTACCAGCAATATTCGGCACCTTATTCATACTCTTGATTTAGCTCTGTTTTTGAATGCGGATAATGAATTTTACAGTATCAACTGGGATTTCATGGTAGCCACTTAAAGGACCACTCTAGGCACCCAGACCACTTCAGCTTAATGAAGTGGTCTGGGTGCCAGGTCCTTCTAGGGTTAACCCATTTTTTCATAATTATAGCAGTTTCAGAGAAACTGCTATAATTATGAATGGGTTAAGCCTTCCCCCTAATCCTCTAGTGGCTGTCTCATTGACGGCCACTAGAAGGCGCTTGCGTGCTTCTCACTGTGAAAATCACAGTGAAACGCACCAAATCTATAGAAAGCATTGTAAATGCTTTCCTATGAGGCCGGCTGAATCTTGGCGCCCAGCTCTTGCGTAGCGTGCGCATTCAACGTGGCTAACGAGGCGGAGAGGAGGAGGAGAGCTCTCCTTGCGCTGGAAAAAGGTAAGTTATTACCCCTTTCCCCTTTCCAGAGCCGGGCGGGAGGGGGTCCCTGAGGGTGGGGGCACCCTCAGGGCACTATAGTGCCAGGAAAACGAGTATGTTTTCCTGGCACTATAGTGGTCCTTTAAAGGAAGTTTGGATTTTCTAGATAATAGATTTGATTTTGTCCGTATACGTATCTCCTTTAGCAAGGGTAGTTGGTGCAGGCATAGCATCGCCTTCGTTCTTGGTTAAAAATGAGTTTGACAAGGTTGCCCCTTTACACCCCTTCTATATGTGATCAGGTTATAAGAGAGGACAATCTTATTAAGGGCTGTGTCAAGGGACAAAACACTGGGAAAATGTGCCTTTATGCAGATGACATAGTCAAAACATTTGCTGACCCCAAGAATTCTCCAGTACATTTGTTACAGATTGAGCGGCATGGGGAAGTTTCAAATTATAGACTAAATATCAGTAAGAGCTGTGCCATGTTACTCAATGTCTCTGCAGAGGAAATGTGGATATTAAAGGCCAAATATGATTTTTCTTGGGTTCAAAAATGTTTTTTAAACTTCGTATTTAAATTTTGTTTTGATACCATAACAGAATAAGAAACCAAAGGCTCTTAATGGCATAATGCAAAGATTGCAAGGAAATCTGAATGAAATCCAGAGCAAAACTTGACTCTAATGGAGAGAGGGTAGACAATGTAGTACTCCAGGATTGCTGTAATGGGTTGGTCTGTATCCTATGGTTCTGTGAAAACTGTAAGTTTATGGGATCTGTATTCTCTTGGCTTAGTTGAAGGGTTGTGACTTGCCAGTGGTACCTGAGCCTTCTGTGTAAAATATTTAGTTGACTTGTCATTCACTCCACTGTCTGGAACAGTACAAGAACTTGATCTATTGCATTCCGTAACACAAAGGAAGAGGGTATACAGAAGGTAGATGATTTTCCTTTCATGTTAGATGTTTGTTTTATGTGTATGAAATGTTAATAGTTTACTAGTGCACCCATCTTTACATACTGTCTTTTTTTTTGTTGTTGACATTTTATATTTTTTATTTCTTCAACCCCAATAGTGTTGGAGGCGTGGTATCATCATTTACAGCAGTGAATCCACAACTTGCTGAAGGGAACCTGTTCTCCACAAATTTACTTGGAAGGCAAGTTCACCTTCAAGTTGGTGTAGAATCTATCTGTGTTGTGGTAACATCAGCAGCATTAAAGGAGAAAATAACTTCATGATTACCTCCTGTCATCCTGCATTGCATTGGTAAATTATGCAAGTGGGCTTCACATAATTCCAGCAATGTATGTGTTAAAATATGCTCGCTTGAAAATCGCTGCCTTCTTCACCCAGAATTGCATAATGAAGTTGATGGTGAGGCAATGCTTGTTGCTTCTCCTTTGACAGATGAGGCGCTGAATACTCATGGGATGCTGCCACTTCATCACTTGGAAGGAGTGTAGATGTGCGTATAACAGAACTAGACTTTTATGTTTATCTTCACTGCAGTAACTTGTGACATAGGCTAGTCTAGGATCCAGAATCAAGTGTGGAGTCACAATTTAAAAAAATTAAAAATAAAAAAATCTTAAAGGACCACTATAGTGCCCTGAGGGTGCCCCCAACCTCAGGGTCCCCCTCCCGCCCGGCTCTGGGGAGAGGAAGGGGTTAAACTTACCTCTTTCTCCAGCACCAGGCGGGGAGCTCTCCGATCCTCCTCCTCTCCTCCCCGTCGGCTGAATGCGCACGCGCGGCAAGAGCTGCGCGCGCATTCAGCCAGTCGTATAGGAAAGCATTATCAATGCTTTCCTATGGACGCTTGCGTGCTCTCACTGTGATTTTTCACAGTGAAAATCACGCAAGCGCCTCTAGCGGCTGTCAATGAGACAGCCACTAGAGGATTTGGGGGAAGGCTTAACCCATTCATAAACATAGCAGTTTCTCTGAAACTATGTTTATAAAAAAAAGGGTTAACCCTAGAAGGACCTGGCACCCAGACCACTTCATTAAGCTGAAGTGGTCTGGGTGACTAGAGTGGTCCTTTAAACCGCACACTTGTTTAACTCTACTCTTACTTGCATAACATACTAACTAAATTCCATTTCACACTCACGTACTGCTAGCCATTCACATACTATTTCTCTATTCATTCTCTGATATCAGCATACCTGTTCTGCATTGAGGACAGGAAGGAGATGCTGCCTTCTCTCCTTGTTTTTAGTGGGCTCTCTCTGCATGTTCAGGCAGCAGGGACAACTTCAGCAGTCCTTTTGCACATTGGGAGGATTAGATGTCCTACCTCTTCCTTAGGATGTTGTATGTCTAGATGTGATGCAGAGTGCAAGGGCAACCCTGAAGCTGTCATTGTCACTGGTGCAAATATATAGCGTGTATGCTAATTATGCTTTCGCTGACAGGGAAGCAAATTCTTGGCAAAAGGTCTTATTTCTGTGTCTTCATGGCAGCGTGCATTTTATAGCACAGTCAATGTATAGCTCTTATTTGGCTTTCCTGAATGGGATTTGGCACAAGGTTTTCGGATAACTGATCTGTATTTCAAGGGGGCATATTATTATGATTATTATTTTAGCTGTTTTTTAAATGGCTTGCTTGTAGAATATTTTAATACTCTTACATGTCTTTTGAGGCTTATGTGTTACACTGTCTCTCTCTGAGCTGGACTTTTAGACAGAATAATTGTGCTAGGAGACCAAGCTCTCCAGTATTCTTATTATGACATCACATAATTAGAATTCAAGCACTATAGTATTATATAGCTATGCATGTACTCGCACCACATCAGATGTCGGCTGCAAAATTATTTAAACAATTTTATCCATCCACTTGCTGTGGATATACATATGTAATAAGGCAGACTCTCGTTTCTTGTTAAAAAATAAACAATTTATCACTGACTGCAATGGCAGCACTATAACCACTTAATTGAGATGAAGCAGTCATAGTGCCTAGAGTGCCCCTTTAAATATCATTTGAAGCACCATTTATATTACTTTCTTACGGTGGTAATATTAACTGTGTTTACCAGGTTTGCATTATACATACTTTCTCACTTTTTTTGTTCTGGAATTTTACTTATTTCAAGACCTGCCCACCAGGACTACAGTCCTTCCAGAGTTTTCACATTTAGCTAATTAATATGTAATTATGACTGTGCATCACTGTGAAATGCTTTTTGATATTGGGTTAAAACTTGTGCCTGCAGCTATAGAAAGCTTGCTGTGAGTCCAGAAGGATATAAAAAATGCATTGAAGTTTGTAACACTATCGCAGGCTTTTCTTGATGGGATGGAAATTTAAAGCCGTAAGGTACACATTATTTTATTACTGTAGCTCAAAGACGTGGATAAATGGTCACTTGGTAGAAATTTATCAACACTTGTTTTCAGTCTACCAGCTTTGGTATTCAGTAAATCTCAGATTACACAATATATAATAAAACAATATGCAAAGCGTTCAGGGGATCTGAAAGAGGAACTATGCTTAGCAACGAGAAAGTTCCTCTTTACACATTTAATAGAACCTTAACAAGAAATGACCATTCCTCTCTCCCTCTCCCCAAAAGAAAGCTTTATTGAAACAAAATGCAACTTATTAGAGTACAAAGTACAGGCACAATGTTGGATGAACAGATAACCATGGCACCGATGCATGCCACCTAAGACATATGGCAGTGGTGAAACATTGCAGGTGTGTTTGAAGGTGTAACATTATTATAAACTGAATCATTATACTGCACAGCGTGGGTTTTTTGTTTGTTTTTTTTCTAGTACAATTAAAGGGTTCAAGTTCGCTGTAGTGGTTATGAGGGCAAACCGTTTGCCTTCTTACATGGGTGTCTGCCAGGCAAAGAAGTTCCTCTATGGCCCGTGGAGTGTATCCGGCTTCGGCAGAATCTGGGTGCCGATCCCATCTGCCATTCCTTGGCTGAGCGCATCAGCCAGTGGATGCAACTCTGCATAGAAATATGTATAGAATTGATATTAACCAACCTAGAACAAGTTTGTTTAAACGCTATTCAGTGACTGTTCAGCCTGCAGGCACAATGACCACTTCAAATCACTGCAGTAGTAATGGTGCTTGGAGTAACTCTTTAATATTACTTTTTGTTTTTCCACTCTGGGAGGTTAAAAACATAATACAGTCTCATCTGCATAAAATGTAACTTTGTACCTGTGTGTTTTTTCTTTTTTTTTCTTTTTTTTCTTGAATGTTAGTAGAAATCTTGTTTGCATTTTAATTACTAGTTGGTTTTCTATCAAACGCAAGCAGAAATCAGAGATGTATCGAGTTTTTGATGAATAAATCATTTTAAATTGATTTCTTAACATTCAATTGTTAAAAATCGACCGACCACCAAATTTGCAAGCTGTAGACCAAACTTATTGAGCTAAAAAATGGTAAAATAGCATAGTGCTTATTCAGTCTGTTAAAGTTCAGTTGAAGTCTCTTATATTCCCGAACCACCTTCCTCCCTCTGTTCAGTGAGTGACCTCTTTTTTTGAGGTACACAATTCATTCCTTTTACCTTCCTGAGGACCTTAATATGATTGAGAGCTGTTCTGTACCACCGACATTTCTTTAGCTGATATTAAATCTAACCCCGGGCTAGAGCTTGCTCTGCTCCTGGCTTAGTTTTCTTTTTACTTTGTGGGTTGGAAGAGTCATGGCCTCGGAAAATTGTGTGTGTGCGCAATCCAATTTGCTTATGATTCAGCTGGTCACTTCGTAACTGAATAGGAGCCATTTTTTTTTACCATTAATCTTTATCAAGGAAGTTCTACATGAGAAGCCTGCCTTTTGTGCGACTTTCTATAAAAGTCTGCACACAGCAGCCAGTCTAGAAACATGTGCAACTTCTTTTGTGTGCCCTATTGGTTCTTGTGTGTCTGTTGGGATTAAAATCTCTCACAGTGAATGGATTCACTTCTCGGTAAAAAAAAAAATAACCAACAAATTAGCAAATATTCTGTTTTGATTCAGAGATTGCAACAAACTGCATGAAGCAGCTGTGACAACCTGGCACTGTCGTATTATTTCCATGTTGGTGAAATAATGTTTTATGGGGTCATTCATGAAAGTATCAGTTGTGAAAGATGAAATGGACACTATAGGCACCAAATCAACTTTAGCTGAATTAAGCAGTTTTGGTGTATAGATCATGCCACTGCAGTCTCACTGCTCAATTCACTACCATTCAGGAGTTAAAGGATCACTATAGTGTCAGGAAAACAAAGCGGTTTTCCTGACACTATAGTGCCCTAAGGGTGCCCCCACCCTCAGGGTCCCCCTCCCTTGGCGCGGAAGGGGTTAAAACCCGTTCAGCAGCTTACCTTAGTCCAGCGTCAGGCTCCTTCGGCGCTGGTGACCTCTCCTCCCCCGCCGACCTCAGCTCCCGAGTGGAGTGAAATGCTCATGCGCGGCAAGTGCCGCACGCGCATTCAAGCATTCCATAGGAAAGCATTTCTCAATGCTTTCCTATGGACGCTCTGCACGCTGGATGCGAATTTTGCCTCTAGCAGCTCTCAGGAAGACAGCCACTAGAGATTGGATTAACCCCTAATGTAAACATAGCAGTTTCTCTGAAACTGCTATGTTTACATCTGGAGGATTAAAACCTGAGGGACATTACACCCAGACCACTTAATTGAGCTGAAGTGGTCTGGGTGACTATAGTGTCCCTTTAACAGCCTGCATGAAAACAAATTGGTTTCATTTTTAATCAGATGTAATTTACTATAAGAGTTTTTTATCTCCTGCTTTGTAAAATGAACTTTAATTACATACAGGAGGCTCATGCAGGTCTAGCAAGCTATTAACAGTGCAGAAGATAGGCTAATTTAAATTAGACCGGATGTGCAATAAAGGAAGTGCAAACATTAGATGACTCTTACAAGAAGTGTTTAAGAAGGCTGTGGAAGTCACATGCATAGAGGTAGGACTAGATCAACATAAGCAAAGTGATTTAACTGATAAATGACAAAGAACTGAGCAGTGAGACTGCAAGGGCATGATCTATACACCAAAACTGTTTCATTAAGTTAAAGTTGTTTAAGTGGCTATAGTGTCCATTTACCAAGGGTGGTGCAAATTTCAGACCAAGATAGCAGTGCTGTAAAATAACTGAATTGGAGAATTGATCCAATTTGTCTATTTTTGCTTAAATCTACAAACTCTTTGCGTTCCATGATGATTGGCTTACCAAATTACCCTTTGAAATGAATAACCAGAAGATAAGCCAGGCATATTGCTAGGGATGATACAATGTCAAAGCTAGTAGCATCCTCCATAAGCTAGTGATTAAAGTTGTATGGAGACCGTTTTCGGAGAGGGTGGTTGTCATGGTGGGGAGGGGCAGCAGTGACTGAACTTCTTGATAAAGTTCTGCCTTGTCTTCAAAAAAGGAATTAAGGATCAATTACACCAAAAAGCACACTCCTAAATTCCAAAGATGATAAAGGTGTGCAGGAGAGCGGTAGAGTATACCGATGTGTCAATTAAAGTAGCATACACCACTTCAAGTAATAATGTATGCATGTTTGGATGTCATGTCCTCCTATTATTCAGTGGGTAATTCTTTAAAGGGACACTACAGTCACCTGAGCAACTTTAGCTTAATGAAGCCGTTTTGGTGTATAGAACATGCCCCTGCAGCCTCACTGCTCAATCCTCTGCCATTTAGGAGTTAAATCCCTTTGTTTATGAACCCTAGTCACACCTCCCTGCATGTGACTTGCACAGCCTTCCATAAACACTTCCTGTAAAGAGAGCCTTATTTAGGCTTTCTTTATTGCAAGTTCTGTTTAATTAAGATTTTCTTATCCCCTGCTATTTTAATAGCTTGATAGACCCGGCAAGAGCCTCCTGTATGTGATTAAAGTTCAATTTAGAGATTGAGATACAATTATTTAAGGTAAATTACATCTGTTTGAAAGTGAAACCAGTTTTTTTTTATTTTTATTTTTTATTCAGGCTCTGTCAATCATAGCCAGGGGAGGTGTGGCTATGGCTGCATAAATAGTGATTTAACTCCTAAATGACAGTGAATTGAGCAGTGAAATTGCAGGGGAATGATCTATACACTAAAACTGCTTTATTTAGCTAAAGTAATTTAGGTGACCATAGTGTTCCTTTAACACTGTTCTAAAGAAACACTATACTCATAGTATGGTCTAATCATTGAAAAAAAAATAATATAAATATATATATTTCCTCTCATTGACATTTTCTCACATCAGCGGTAATTTGGGCACACAAGGCAGTTACATTTGGCAATGGCTTGTTATATCTGCGTTACTATTTGGTTATTTGCAGAGCCATATGGAAATTATCTAATTGCATGTTGGATTTTTTTAACCATGTTCAACTACAGGGCAGAAATACATTGGGAGCAATGGTTCAAGCTTTCTAAATCAGTAGTTTTTCAACTAATAATCAGTAAAACCAGTACTAATTTTCAACATTGCGTTTTTTTTGTTGTTTTTTTTTTTTTAACTATTCACCTGAAAATTACACTGTGTGCTGCACCAGCGGTAATTAGCCCTCTTTGTCTAATATAACTACTTCGGCTTAAAGTGTGCTTTTGAGAATTGCTAAAGACATAAGACCACTCTAGGCACCACCCCAACTTAATTTTGATGAAGTTGTTATGGTGTGCAGATTTCTTGGGCCCCATCGTATCTTATGTGGATGTTCTTTTATTAACCTTCCTCTTCTAGTGCTGTAATAGGAACAGTTCTCCTCTGACTCAAAATCTTATCATGAATAACATTTAACTCTCCCTCCCTTACAAAGTCCTTTAAATCTTTTTTTCCCTGCCCTTATCACACTGCGCAACACTGGACTAGCAAGCACATCAAACGGACCTCTGAGTGACTACACTGCTGCCTAGTAACACCTCTAGTGACAAACACTGCCTTTACTCTGAAAAGGCAAGCTTTTACTTTGCTAAGACTGCACGGACATGCTATAGACCAGGGGTAGTCAACCTTTTAATACCTACCGCCCACTTTTGAATTTTTGTTGATTGTATAATTTCCTTACCGCCCACCAGTGCCACAGTAATTAATTTTGTAGCGCAAGTGCGATTTTTCTGGGAAAAAAAAATCTATGCCAACCCCATAAGTCATTGCGCCATATATTGTCGCATTTAATATGTAAGGCTATGTCTTGAGAATATATATATATATATATATATATATTGCTTTTCCAATATAAAATATTGGTCCTTTCAGAGTAAAATTTTCAATTATACAGTAAGCATACTCACATGCAGACACAGACAATCTCACTGACACAAGATGATTGATACACAGCCTCATAGACAAACAATCTCACTGATATACATAAGGTCATTGACATAAAGACTCACTCAGTAGCAGGCACACACACACACACACAAGCAAGCCCACTCACTAGCAGGCGCGTACACACACACAGCTTAATGTAGTGGCTCTGGTGTCTATAGCCTGTCCCTGCAGGCTTTTCAATGTAAACACTTTTTTTAGAGAAAAGGTAGTGTTAACATTGCTTCCTATTGACAGAAACTCAGACGTTCACTAGAGGGGCTTCCTTTGTCAGTGCGGATTGGCAGGGCCAATCGAGGGGAGACCAGTATGACGTGGGAAAAAAAAAAAGTGAGTAAAAACACATACCGTATTTTTCGCTCCATAAGACGCACCTCACCATAAGACGCACCTAGTTTTTAGAGGAGGAAACCCAGAAAAAAAAATATTCTGAACAAACTGTTCCATAGTGTTTCTTACCATGGGACAGTTTGTTCAGAATATTTTTTTTTCTCCCCTGTCCCATAATGATCTTTTAACCCCCCTTTCCTCTGTCCCATAGTGATTGTTAACCCCTCCTCCCCTGTCCCTGTCCCATAGTGATTGTTAACCCCTCCTACCCTGTCCCATAGTGATTGTTAACCCCTCCTACCCTGTCCCATAGTGTTCTTTAACCCCTCCTCCCCTTGTCCATTAGTGTTCTGATCCCATAGTGTCCCCCCCTCCCATTGTCCCATAGTGCACTTTCCCTCCCATAGTGTCCCCCCTGCCCTTGTCCCATAGTGTCTCCCCCTCCCCTTGTCCCATAGTGTCTCCCCTCCCCTTGTCCCATAGTGTCTCCCCTCCCTTGTCCCATAGTGTCTCCCCCCTCCCCTTGTCCCATTGTCTCCCCCTCCCTTGTCCCATGGTGTCTCCCCCTCCCCTTGTCCCATAGTGTCTCCCCTCCCCTTGTCCCATGGTGTCTCCCCCTCCCCTTGTCCCATGGTGTCTCCCCCTCCCCTTGTCCCATGGTGTCTCCCCCTCCCCTTGTCCCATGGTGTCTCCCCCTCCCCTTGTCCCATGGTGTCTCCCCCTCCCCTTGTCCCATGGTGTCTCCCCCTCCCCTTGTCCCATAGTGTCTCCCCCTCCCCTTGTCCCATAGTGTCCCCCCTCCCCTTGTCCCATAGTGTCTCCCCCTCCCCTTGTCCCATAGTGTCCCCCCTCCCCTTGTCCCATAGTGTACCCCCTCCCCTTGTCCCATAGTGTCTCCCCTCCCTTTCTCCCATAGTGTCCCCCTCCCCTTGTCCCATAGTGTCTCCTCCCCTCCCCTTGTCCCATAGTGTCTCCCCCTCCCCTTGTCCCATAATTACTTACCTGTCTTGGAGCGTGGGCCGGCTTCACAGCGCGCTCCGCGGTCCAGGAACTAATATTTCAGGTTCCGGTTTCCGGCGGGACTGAAAGGAAGTGTACGCCGCCAGTCCAGCGGCCAGGCAAATAAACCAGACATGAGCAGCAACGGTAAATTATCCACATTCGCTCCATAAGACGCACAGACATTTCCCCTCACTTTTGAGGGGGAAAAAAGTGCGTCTTATGGAGCGAAAAATACGGTATATATACACACACACACACACACACACCGTGACACAGTTTACAAGTATTGTTTTTCGAAGATGTTAAAATGCTCAGTTTTATTGCATTGCTACACACACAAAAACACATATACATATACATATATACACACACACACACACACACACACAGGGGCATGTTACATACCGTGACACAGACACACCATGACAGACACACACCTTAAAAAAGACACACGCGCACACACACCATAACACAGACAGACTGTGACACAGACACACACATTACATGACACAGACACACACACCGTGACACAGACAGACACAGATTACATGACAGACACAGATTACATGACAGACACAGATTACATGACAGACACACACACACAATGACACAGACACAGATTACATGACAGACACACACACACAATGACACAGACAGACACACATTGCATGAAAGACAGGCGCACACACCGTGACACAGACAGGCGCACACACCGTGACACAGACAGGCGCACACACCGTGACACAGACAGGCGCACACACCGTGACACAGACAGGCGCACACACCGTGACACAGACAGGCGCACACACCGTGACACAGACAGGCGCACACACCGTGACACAGACAGGCGCACAGACTGACACAGACAAGCGCCACAACCACACAACACCACCCACACAACACCCCACACAACAAACAACCAACACCAACCACACAACCCCACCCCACACCCAACCACACAACACCCACCACACAACCCACACAACACCACAACCACAAAAACAACCCCCACCCACCACCAACACACAACCGTGACACAGACAGGCGCCACACCGTGACCAGACAGGCGCAGTGACACAGACAGGCGCACACACCGTGACACAGACAGGCGCACACACCGTGACACACACATTGCATGACACAGACACACACACGCACACACCATGACAGACCGAGACACACACAATGACACAGACAGACGCGCGCACACACTGACACACAGGCGCGCGCACACACAGGCGCGCGCACACACTGACACACAGGCGCGCACACACACTGACACACAGGCGCACACACACTGACACAGACAGACGCGCGCACACACTGACACAGCACGAAGCGCGCGCACACACTGACACAGAGCGCCGCGCGCACACACTGACACAGACGCAAGCGCGCACACACTGACACAGACGCAGGCGCGCACACACTAAACCAGGCGCGCACACTGACACAGACGCAGGCGCGCACACACTGACACAGACGCGGCGGCGCAACACCAGACCAGGCGCCACACACTGACACAGGCGGCGCACACACAGACACAGGCGCCACACACGACGCGAACAGCGCCGCACTGCGTAACCGAACAAATGGCGCACACACTGAACACAGACAAGCGGCGCACACCCGAACAGAAGCGCGCACACTGACAAACAGGCGGCGCGCACACTGACACAGGCGCACACACTGACACACACACAGACAGGCGCGCACACACTGACACAGACAAGTGGCGCACACACACTGCCGACAGCGCCCCAGACACAAAGGCGGCGCACACACACACTGACACAGACAGGCGGCAACACACACACACAGACAGGCGCAAACACACACACTGACACAGACAGGCGCGCACACACACACACTGACACAGACAGGCGCGCACACACACACACTGACACAGACAGACAGACGCGCGCGCACACACACACACTGACACATTTCTACCTGTGTGCTGGCATGGGGAGCTTAGATGGCGGCCGCATTGGGGGGCTGCCTCTTCTTGGGGCCGCATGGGGGAGCTGCCTCTTCTGGGGGCCGCATGGGGGAGCTGCCTCTTCTGGGAAGAACAGCCAGCTCCCTCTGCGGCCCCAGGTGCCGACGGCCCACCGGGAAATTTTCCGGTATCCCGGTGGGCCAGTCCAGCCCTGGTGAGAGGTGTGTGTGTGTGTGTGTGTGTGTGTGAGAGTGAGAGGGGTGGGGGGGTGTGAGTGAGAGGGGTGGGTTTGTGTGTGTGTGTGTGTGTGTGTGTGAGAGAGGGGTTGGGGTGTGTGTGGGTGTGTGTGTGTGAGGGGTGGGTGTGTGTGAGTGAGTGAGAGGGGTGCGTGAGAGGTGCAGTGTGTGTGTGTGCAAAGGGTGCTGTAGTTGTGTGAGGGGGCAGTCTGTCCGTGTGTGGGGTGTAGTGTGCATAGGGTCTATGCTGTATGTAGGTGGGTGAGATGTGAAAATCTATCTTAATGTCTCCCTCTCTCTTTTTCTTGGCTTTTACCAGAGGGGGGGCGGGAGACATAATGCTGCAAGCCCTGGTGGTTCAGTGGTGGCATGTTCACATTAGGCTGCAGCTCCTTCGACTGCAGGCTGACTCTCCTGTCCTCCTACGAGCACAGTGCTGAATTGGAGCGTTGACGTGGTAACGCGCTGCAGCGCTCCATCCAGCCTGCCCACGGGAAGATCACAGAGCCTCCCAGGCCCTTTCCTCCCTCTGCTGGAACTAAGTGCCAGCGGCCCAGTGAAGGAGATCTTTGATTTCCTCACCAGACCGAGAGAGGGAGATCTTTCCTCACCAGCAAGGCTGTCTTTGCATGGGCCAGCAGGGTAGATGAAAGGATCTTCCCTGCCGGCGTTGGCCCATGGCGAACATTTTCTGCAGAACCCACCACTGCCCACCTGAAATCCCAAACCGCCCACTAGTGGGCAGTAAGGACCAGGTTGACTACCCATGCTATAGAGTCTATAGCATTATAGACACTAGAACAACTATATTAAGCTGTAGTAGATTTGGTGACTATAGTATCCCTTTTTAAGATGTTATTTTTGTCATTGAAATGTTAGTTTAAAAAACCCCCAAAACCTGGTTCCTAACTTTTTTTTTAACTGGCTCCTAGATTCAAAGCAAATATATCGGGCCATGATATCATGTAAGGAGTTGGAGTCAGTCAAAGGTTTTGTGTAATAACTCCAGAGCCCTGCCAAATAATAAAAGATAAATAAAAAAACACTCTTATTTGAAAACTAGTTTGCAATAAATTCCTGTTAGAGCTTTTCCTGTTGTAAGCACTACCCAGACAAGAAATAATCATCCAGCCAGGATAGCTTTTCTGTGGCAATTTACAAAATCCGTACTCTCTCCCAGTGGTTCCCAAACTTTTTAGGTTCAAGGCGCCCTTAATATTTCAGTATTTTTCCAAGTCACCCCAAGTAAAAATTTCTAGGTTGTTAAAGTGCTGCGGCATTTACTGGCGCTATAGTGTAATGTACAGTGTTGGTGTTTGAAGAGATGCTTGTATACATTTATTGTGTTTTAATACAGGGGTGTGTTTGTATGTAATTGCAGGGGTGTGTCTGAATGTAATGTTCACTTTTAAATGTGGATGTACATTTGTGTAAAGGGGTGTGTTTTTTTTTTAATGTGTGTATATATGTGTGTGTGTGTGTGTGTGTGTGTGTGTGTGTATATATATATATATATATATTTATTTTTTAGTTTGTATGGAATATTTGTGTTGGATTGCAGGAGTGTACTTGTATGTTGTGCTGGTGTTTGACTGCTTGGATGTATGCACAAACACTACCACATACATACATAGATATTCATGCACATTAAAGGATCACTATAGAGTCAGGAAGACAAACAGGTATTCCTGACCCTATAGTGCTAAACCCACCATTTAGGTGGCTTGCCCCCCTATAAAAATCTACAACTCTCCTTGTTTCCAGTGCTGCGCGGGGCTGCCGGGGCTGCCTCCACCCACTTTGTGACATCATCAAAATGACCGATTTATAGCCAATCCAATGCTTTCCCATGGGGAAAATCAGCACGGGGGTGAGGACAAATGCCGTTTTGGCTAATCAGGACCTCCTCATAGAGATGCATTGAATCAATGCATCTCTATGAAGGAAAATTCAGCGTTTCCATGCATGGGGACGCTGAACAGCAGGGCTGCTTACTGTGCAACCCTGAGCCAGGAAGCCCCTCCAGTGGCCATCTAAGGAGTAGCCAATTGGAAAAAGGCAGTTTTTACATGAAAATGCCTGAAGGGAGTTATTATACTCACCAGAACAACTACATTAAGCTGTAGTTGTTCTGGTGACTATAGTGTCCCTTTAACACACAAATATATAGAAATACACAGACACTCACAAATTCATATAGATACACACCGACACATAGATATACACACATGCACCCTGACATACTCAAATAAAGATACATGCCCACACCATGACAAAGATACACACACTGACATAAAAACACACACCTTGACACACGTGTGTGTGTGTGTGTGCGCACACACTGATAGATATATAGATATATATATATACTCTCACACACGTGATTTTTTTTTTTTATATTATTTTTTTTTATATATATCTCCAGACACCCTCCTGTTACCTTATGTGCCAGGAGGGTGGCTTGGAGTTCTGCTGCTGTGGGAGTGAGGGGTCTTGAGCTCTTCATACTCCTCTCCTCTCCTGCACTGTCTCCCTGCAGGATTCTGGGAGGAAGTGACAGGCTCCAGACATTACAGGGGCTGGTCGCGGTCTTAAAGGACTGCGGCACTCGACCGGGTCCCTGTTGAGCAGTAATGTTTCCCCAGTGCTATAATCATAGCACCAGGGAAACATTCCACGGCACCCCTGTGTGCACCTCGCGGTGCCCCAGGGTGCTTCGGCACATAGTTTGGGAACCGCTGCTCTATCCCATAAATTTCTGCACAGCTGGGCTTTCTCAGCTAAGCGGCAGTTTCTGGAAGTTGTACTGTTATCAGCTTTGACTTATGAGGGTTGTTAGCTAAATCACAACTCCTAGAAGCCTTTGCTGTGCTTTTCGATGATCTGATCTGTGTTTTTGGATTCAGTACAGTTTAGGAGTAGCTAGACAGGGGCTGGGGCATGTACCATTAAAGGAACACTATAATGTTGGTAATACAAATATGCATTCCTAAAGATATTGGCACTGGTGACCTCTCCTCCATCGACGTCCGCTTCTGAGTGGAGCCGCATGCGCAGCCAGAGGCACGCATGCATTCAAACTCGCCCATAGGAAAGAATAACTCAATGCTTTCCTATGGGGATATTTTTGACACTGGACTCCATGAGGACGTCCGGCTTCAAATAAGTGCGATTTACTCTGTGTAAATCTCGGAAGCGGACTGTAGTGGCTGTCAGTGAGACATCCACTAGAGGCTGGATTAACACTGCAGTTTAAACATAGCAGTTTCTCTGAAAGTGCTCTGTTTTCAGCTGCAGGGTTAAACTAGGGAGACCAGACACTAAGGCCACTTCATTGAGCTGAAGTGGTCTGGGTGCCTATAGTGCTTTTTAAGAAAGTAGATTTTGAATTTAGAAACATTGCTGCAGCTGTTGCAGTAGGAAACATGGCTGAAATAGTAAAAACTCCTGCCAATTTATCATCAACATTTATATCCACCCCCACTCACAGCTTAAAGGGACACTATAGGCACCCAGACCACTTCATTCCATTGAAGTGGTTTGGGTGCACTGTCCCTGTCCCCTTAATCCTGCAATGTTAATTATGCAGTTCCTGAGAAATTGCAATAATTGCATTTCAGGGTGAAGACTGCCTCAAGTGGCTGTCAATCAGGTGATGTCTGGGGGCGAGGGAGCTAGAGGGCTAGGAAAACAACTTTGTATTCCTAGCACTATAGTATTCCATTAATTTCTCAGCCATACTGCAATACCACACATGTCAGATCCCCAAATAAAAAGCTTTTATGACTTTTTCTGTTGGGAGGATTACAGCACTGTAAGGACACTGAGTTTACAAGTATTGTTTTTCGAAGACGTTAAAATGCTCAGTTTTATTGCATAGCTGAGCTGTATTAGACTCTCTCTAGTTTCTATAAAACAGAATGTACCCTGTGTAATTGTTTTGTCTGTGTGAAAGCACGGCACTGTGGGTGAGTTTTGCTGCAGTCTGCCAAGCTGTACTCATGCCTTGAATTCTTCAGGTGCAGTTGGCGTCCCCAGGTTCTCCTACATTTGAAAAGCAGCAGGTTGCAACTTTGAAACCATTCCTATGTCAGGATGATCGTGTAATAACTGCTGAGATATTCAGAGCATGTGATGGTCCTTTTCAAGCAAGCATCGTTTTCTTACTCATTCATTTTTAATTGTAATGCTAACAAACCCCATAGAGTTGTGTCATGGTATCGGGGCTTACATTTTCAAGCCTTATACCACTAGCTAGGCTTTAACAGTTATTCATCACTGCTTAGAGCCGTGGTTCTCAACCTTCCTAATGCCGCGACCCTTTAATAAAGTTCATCATGTTGTGGTGACCCCCCCAACCATAAAATTATTTTCGTTGCTACTTCGGAACTTTAATTTTGCTACTGTTATGAATCGTAATGTAAATAACTGATTTTCATTGCTACAAATTGAACATAATGAAAGCATAGTGATTAATCACAAAAACAATATGTAATTATATATTGTGAAATATTTGTTTCTAATTACACATAAATTAAATTTTGTCTGGACACATGGTGTAGCATGAGTAACAGTCCCCTGTAAAATCAGGGGTAAATTTCCAATTCTATTCAATGAAAGACGACACACATTCAGTCTACACAACACCATTGAGAAACAATGCTTTCATTCACAATTACTTCTTTTTTTTTGGCTAACATTTTTAACAGACTTGAGTGATTCACAATAAAGTTCTTTACTGGCAAACATGTTAATACATAAAATGTCTTATCCAGAAATCCTATATTGTTTTTTTTTTTTTTGTTTTTTTTATGGAGATGGCAATGAACAGATCTATTTCTTTTTGAAAATTTGGCAGCAGCAAATTATTTTGAACAATTGTTTGTAAAGGTGGCTTTTCAAAAAGTGTTTGTTTTTAGTTTTTGTATGGTTAGCAACCATTAGGAATGCAGAATAAAAGAAGGTAACTTAAATGAATACAGTAGATTTATGGCCAGTCACATATACATACAAACAGGGGGAGTATCATGTTTCCAACTCGTAATAGGCATATATATGCAATATACGGAACAGAATGATCTGCAATAGGAAGAATAGAGACAAATTCCTAGTTCAATATTGTCTATATTAATAACAGTACTACATCTACGTAATGATGTTCACTCACAAACTTGGAGCCAATTATCCTTAGGCCCAATGTGAAGGCTTGCAGGATATTTATGGATCCTACTCCCTCTTAGGATTCTGGTGTGGGGATTCCCCCTCTGATGTCAGGTATAGATTTACCAATATCGGCTCTCATTCAAAGTAATACTTTATTGAAAAATAAAAGTGAGAACTAAAGGATAAAATCAAGTGATGTCCTTACAGTTCAGGTTTAGTGCCAAACGTGTTTTGCCTCGCCTGGAGGCTTCCTCAGTTGCTGTATCAATTTTCTGGAGTCCCTTCCTCTTCTTAAATAGTTTTTAAAAGTTCCCGCCATCGGGCACTTCCATGGACGCTTCCATAAACGCTGGGGTCCCATGTGTATTATCTCTATGATGTGCTGTCACATACACCTGTATTTGTACGGAGTGTACGTGATGGGGTTGGCGTGATGATGTCATCACGCCGGGTACACGTATGTGGGTGTGATGGCAGATCATATGTAGGGGCACTGGCAGATCATTTTAAGAAACAATCCAGGCACAATAACCACTACAGCTCTCTGTAGTGGTTTTGGTACCAGGAGTTGCTGTGACGCCCTCCCAGAGTAAGTAGTCAAACCGTTTAAAAAAGTTTGATAACTTACTTGGGGTCTGCCGGGATAGGGGCTGTAGTGTGTGTGTGTGTGTGTGTGTGTGTGTGTGTGTGTGTGTGTGAGAGAGAGAGGGGTGCAGTGTATGTATGGGGTAGCAATGTGTATATTGGGGTGGCGGGGCTGTGTTTGTGTATGGGGGGTATGGGTGGTGGGGCTGTGTGTGTAAGGGAGGGCTGTATATTTGTGTGTGATGCAGTGTGTAGGGGGTTATAGTTTGTTAAAGATATTTTTTTTCTCTCTCCCTCCACCTCCCTCCCTCCTCCCATATTTTATACATTTTATTTTGTTTAAAAGTTTATTGGAAGGACGTACTATGCTTCATACTGATAAATGACAACATTCCCTTGTTTTTTGTTTTTTTTCAAATTGTATTTTATTGGTTTTACAACAAGTGGGCAAAACACCGTACACAGTCGCATGTACACATACCATAACATATTAGTAGTGCAAGTCGCAGCTTGCTTACAACATAAGTAGGTAGTTAATACAGTCTAACATAGTCATCATAAGGTTGTAGTTCAATAACTTGCCAATTGGCATACCATATATCTGCAAGTGGTTGCGAGATGGTCCCGAATGCATCTGTGTATAGCATAGACAGAAGGGGGTAGTAGTAAACTAGGGAAGGGACGGGTGTGAGGAAGGAGACGGGAGAAACAGAACAGGGGGACAAAGTGTAATCTGCTTGGTGGCACATTTCCCAAGATTGTTGATCAATCCTTTCGGGGTCTAGAGGTCAGTATTGGAACCCAGAATGTCGTCTCACGTGGCTTGCTGGTTTGTCAGCTGGGTCCACTTGCACCAGGTTTCTCGGAACCTGAGGGCTTGGGAGGCGGAGCTTAGGGACATTTTTTCATAAATATAATATTGTTGCAATTTATCCTTTAATTGTGACCTGGGTGGGCATATTGTGCTTTTCCAATTTGTCGCTATGAGGTTTCTAGCTGCTAACGAGGTTATCGCCACCAGTTGGTGATAGATTGATTCTACCTTTTTATCTGGTATCAATAATATGCAATTGGAAATGGACGGGGAGAAAGTTGAGGGTCCCAATTGCCTCAGAAGTGTTCCCACATCCTCCCACAAAGGACCACCAAATATGCATTATCGTGCCCTTCTCCACTCCACATCTCCAGCACAGGGGAGACACAGTTGGGTATATTTTGTGTAGCTTGGTCGGGGTAAGGTACCATCTGTATAGTAGTTTTTTGTGGGCTTCTATGTGGGAATAACATTTTGTCCATTTGGACAGGCCGTTCAGGGCACCCAACCAGGTACCATCCAGTAGGTCCGTACCTAAGTCCTCCTCCCATTGTTTCTTGCACAGCGGAGGTACATCTGGTGGCATTGCTAGCCACGTTCTATAGCAAATGGAGAGGGCTTTAGGCTTGTTCGGTGTATCCCTACATCTAAGCATAATCAGAGAGGGCATTAGTGGATTATTCATGCTGATAGGAGTTGGCGGGGGCAAAGCATGGGAAGTCAGTATACTCCTGATTTGCAAATATTTGAAAGTGTCCTGGGCAGGCACGTTCCATTTCCTCCTTAGTTCTGAGAAGGGTATTACCTTACGATTGTCTTCCAAGAGGTGCTCAAGTCTGTCTAAACCCATGCGTGTCCAGTGGGAAAGAGAAAGTGATTGGGTTATGGTTTTTAGTGCCGTTAGGGGGGCCTTGGGGTGCAGTTTATGACTGTAGCCTATTTGGGCCATAAAGGAATCCCACATCAGTATGGTCAGCCTAGTGGTAGGGAAAAGAGGTGTGTGCTTGTACCGGAGACGTTGTGGGGTCCACAGGTAGTCCGTCATGGACTTGTCTTGAAATTGGTCCCTCTCCATATCCACCCATTGTGTATGGCCTTGGGGTGAGTGTGCCGCTATACATGTTGCCAGGGCAGCTGCTTTGAAGTAGAGGTGGATGTTAGGGAGGCCCACTCCCCCTCTGTCAGGTGTATTTTGTAGTAGCTTAAGTGGCAACCTCGCTTTTTTGCCCCCCCAAACGAAAGTGTTACAGGAAGATTGTAGTACCTTAAATAGTGCAGCGGGTATCGGGAGAGGGAGCATGCGAAACACATAGAGGAGTTTTGGGAGTGTCATCATCTTGAACGTGTTAATCTTACCTAGCCAGGATAGGTGGGTCGTTTTCCAACCCGCCAACTCCTTTGTGCATAACTGTAATAGAGGCGTGTAATTGTGTTTTACAATTCCTGCTATTGTAGGAGATATTTTAACCCCCAGGTACGTTAAGGTGCTAACTCTCCAGTCGAATTGATAAGAGGATTTTAAGGTGACTAAATCGTCTTGGGGTGTGTTAACAGGTAGCGCCTGTGTTTTGTCTCGGTTTAATTTGTAATGGGAGACGTTTCCAAATTGTGTCAGCAGATCGAGAATGTGAGGTAGCGCCCGTCTTGGGTTTGAGAGGGATATTATAACATCGTCCGCAAAAAGAGAAAGACGGTATTCTTTTCCTTTAACGGTTATACCTCGCATATGTTCGTGATCCCTGATCTTTTGGGCCAGGGGTTCTAGGGAGAGGATATACAACAGGGGAGAGAGCGGGCAGCCCTGTCTAGTTCCATTCGTTATGTGGAACTTCGAGGAGAGGAAACCGCCACAGGACACCTTGGCAGCTGGGGTGGTGTATAGTGCCATGATTTGGGATATGATAAGAGGAGGAAAGCCAAATTTGTGGAGAACCTTCTGCATATAAGCCCAGTTGAGCCTATCAAAGGCCTTTTCTGCGTCCAGCGCCAAGAAGAGGCCTTGGCCTTTGGTTCTTTCTAGTTCTGCTAAGAGATTCAATACCTTCCTGGAATTGTCTGAACCCTGCCTGCCTTTGATAAAACCGGTTTGGTCATTGTGTATGAGTTTGGGCAGGAATTTGGCCAGTCTGTTACTGAGAATTTTGGCATATATCTTTGCGTCACAGTTGAGAAGGGAGATGGGTCTAAAGTTTTTGCACTCTGTCGGTGGTTTCCCTGGTTTGGGCAACGTCGAGATATGGGCTAACAATAATTCGTCCGGTAGCGTCCCTTTTTGTATGCTGTGATTGAAAGGGTTCAGTAAATGGGGGGCTAGTGTTGTTTGGTACGTGCGGTAGTAGGCGTTAGACAGACCATCTGGTCCGGGCGCTTTCTGCGTCGGAAGGGATTCAATTGTGGCAAATATCTCCTCTATGGTGAGAGGGGTGAGGAGTGAATCCGCGTCGTCCTCGCTCAGAGACGGGAGCGTAAGGTCTGATAGGAACCTGTTTATTTCTGTGGTGGCGGGAGTGGGCACTTGTGGATCTGTGTTGAGATTGTATAATTTGCTGTAGTAGGTAGCAAACGTGTCTGCTATGTGTTGCGGGTCTAGTATTTTCCCTCCTTTAGCGTCCAGGAGGTGTGAGAGTTTAGTAGCTGTGGAACGTGTTTTTAGCTGGGAAGCCAGTTTGGCTCCTGCTCTGTTACCTGACGCAAAGAAGTTATGTTTCATGCGTCTTAGCAGTGTCGTTGACTTAGACAGTTCCAAGTCGCGCAATTGGTTCTGCAGTCGTAAGATAGTGGCATGGTGAGTGGGGGTTGGAGTTAGTTTATTTGAGTGTGTGGCCTCAGCAAGTTCCTTCAGGATGTTAGTGTAGTTCTCGAGGCGTTTCTTTTTGGCGTAGCTAGCGTGTTTAATGAAGCACCCTCTAATAACTGCTTTGTGTGCTAACCAGATTTGATCCGGGGTGGAATTTTGTTCTGTATTGTCTTGGAAGTAGTGCTGTAGATCTTGTTTAACCTGGTCTATTACACTCGGGTCTTTCAATAGCCAATCATTTAAGCGCCAGCTGCCTCGGCCTTTAGTTTGGAATCTTTCTGTCAGGGACATAGTAACCGGTGCGTGATCCGACCAGCTAATGAGTCCGATGTGGGTACTTTCTATTTTGGGGAGCATCCTTAAGGGAACCAGAAATCGGTCTATCCTGGAATAGCAATTGTGCGCTGCTGAGTGGCAAGTAAAGTCCCTTTCGCTAGGGTGTTGTATGCGCCATGGATCTACATAATTGTGCGCTGTAAGGGTGTGCCTAATGCGAGTAATTAGTTTCCTCCTGGCTTTGATGGTCTGGGACTGTAGGGGTTTCTGGTGTGAAGAGTCTAGACAATCATCTAACAAAAAATTTGTGTCCCCCCCCACTATCACCTCTCCAAAGGCGTGTTTGGTACAGAGCAACAAAACCAGTTCCAAGAAATCAATTTGCTGATCATTAGGGCTATACACATTTATAAACGTATATGGGTTGTTGTTAACATAGCATTGTAACACTATATATCTGCCTTTTTTGTCACCAAGTTTACGAACTAGGGAGAAAGCCACATCTTTGCTTATTAAGATGGACACTCCTCTTTTTTTCTTTTTTGCATAGCAAGCATGGTAGTCTATGGGGTATGCTATGGAAGTTAAATTTGGACGTTGGCCCCATTTAAAATGTGTTTCTTGAAAGAATGCCACATGGGCATCTAGGGATTTAACCTCCTTTAGCGCTAGTCGCCTCTTGTGCGGAGAATTGAGCCCCTTGGCATTCAGGGAACAGATATTAAGCACCATGGTGTATGTTCAGCAGTCTCATGTTACAAGTGGGATTGGGACCATCTAGCCCTCCCTTCGCGAGTCGGTGAATCTCCCACCCATCTGTGGGCGTTGCCCGGCGACCAAAGGTCCAGCATATATGTCGGTCATCCCAATTTATACCTGGTAGATAAGGTATATGTAGTGGCCTGGTATTTAGGTCCCATGGGTGGATAAAGTGGAGGGGTGATACTGGTATCCCTAGGGTCTTGAGAATAAGCCAAGTCTGTACACTAAAATCATGGTTATCAGAACACAAACACAAAAAAGAGGGTAAAAACATAAGAAAAAACATGCAAACTATGTACATAAAACCGTCGGTCAAACGAATTCGACCAAAAGGTGGAAAACGGTTAATGATGCGGCTCAAAATTAAGCCACTTTGGGGGGCAGGTGACCAGCAACAGATTGGTGGGTCTACGCACATAAGAGATCCGTACTAGACGTAGTGCTCCGTACGGTGTTACAATTGCTGAGACCTTGCCAAGGCATACACGGTTTAGGTATATACAGGCAGTGTTGTTCTCTATTGATTCTCTCTTTTTTTTTCATTTTTTTTTTTGTTATAATTGTTTTTCTTTTCTTTTTTTTTTTCTATCAACAGTAGTATAGCAGTGTGACATAGGTTAGGCACATCAAATGAGTATACTTATCGTCCCTTTGTAGAGGTCATGTAGGTTCTTGTGGTCGGCCGCGTGGCACTTGAGTCCAAACTTTATTTAATTTCACTGGTGATTTGGTGTGTTGTGGTGCGGGAGCCGTCGTGGTAGTGAGAGGAATGTCCCAGGCCCGCAATATTTTCCTTCCTTCTTCGGGAGAAGCAATACTGGAATCTGTCCCATTGCGTTTGATTAAGAGTCTGGTTGGGAAGCCCCACTTGTACTGAATATTTGCCTCTCGTAGTGCTGCAGTGATGGGGGCAAAGGCTTTCCTTTTCATCATCGTCGATGCAGATAGATCAATAAATAGCTTAATTTGATTGAATCGCCCCGGTGGGGGAGGGTTTCGTCGCGCTGCATGCATAACTCTTTCTTTAGTAGTAAAGTAATGTAACTTCGTGATTACATCTCTGGGGGTTTGTGGGCCCAGATGTTTTGGTTTGGGCAACCTGTGGGTCCGATCGAGTAAGAGCTCTCCATCCGTTAATTCTGGCACATATTCTTTAAAGATGCCTTGTACGTAGGATTGCAGCTCTTGCGGTGTCACTGATTCTGGGATCCCCCTCAGCCTGATGTTATTACGCCGATCTCTATCCTCATGGTCGGCCACTTTGTCTTCTAGCTTTTTAATTTTGTCTTGTAGTTCAGTATAAGCGTCTGTTATTTCATCTGCCCTTTCTTCTAACTTTGCAGTCCTGTCTCCCACTTGTTGTATGTCTGACCTGATGTCTGATGCTATTTGCATGAGGTCTGTGTGGAATGTGGATTTGAGGTCTGCAAGTAAGGATTTGAGCGTGGCAGTTGTAACTGGGGCAGAGTAGTCAGCCATGCTGTGAGCAGGATCACTTACTTCCGAAACGGAGGTTGGTGAGCTCGGGCCGTCGGCGCCATCTTGTCCCGCCATATCCAGCATGGTGGCCGAGGTGAGGTGCATTTGAAGCGTTTTCTGCTTCAACTTCTTGCACGATTTCGTCGCCATTTGTATCTGCGGTATGCGGCAGGTGTTTACCCGCCGTTCTGTTGTTTTTTGCGGTCGGGTGTACGCCGTGACTATGCTGCGAACACCATACAGCAGAGGAGCTCAGCACTCACGCGTCCGTCCTCGTCCGCCGCTAAGACACGCCCCCAACATTCCCTTGTTTTATATCTTTTCTAAACTCTCACGCATTTTGATTTGATGTATTATTGTGCTTATAATCTTTTCAATTTCTGATTAATTTTGTGCTCTATAGAATTGGTTACGAAAGACTAAATTCTATGTCCTTTGCCCAGTTTTATGTATGTTACCCGTATTTATTCAAGTATTTGTGGAGTGAAAAAATATCTATGATGAAATCCACCCTGTGATGGGGAAAGTATGCTAGATGGTGCCTGGCAATATATGTACATGTTCCAAGACGACTATTTTGTCTTTGGATCACAAACAAAAGTCTATTTGAAAAAACAGCCTTTGTCTGGCCTTTCCCTTATTAAAGGGATAATGCTCTCAACAAATGCAACTTTATTATTTTTATTTTATTCCTCATTAATATGCTGTTGTTTTGTATTTCTTTTTCGTGCACCAATCTTTACAATTTTTTAACAAAACAAATGGTGTTGCAGAATGCTGCACCTTAACCCTTAAAGGACGAAGTCAAAACAAAAACGTAAACAAAAACTGGAATTTGTGCTATATGTCTGTTCAACCGTAAGTCACCTCTTTCATATTAAATACATCCACACTTATTATATATCATTTTGTTCAGGAGAAACAGGGCTTTCATTTCATATCAAATATTTATATATGAAACATAATTTATTATGAATAAAATTTAAAAAACGGTGAAATTTTAATTAAAAAAAAAAAAATTGTAGTTACACCTCACATTTTGGCTGTAAATGTCATAATACTGTTAAGTTTTACTGCAATAAAAATGCACATATTTGTTATCAGCGATGTCTCACGAGTACAACAGTACCCCCCATTAACAGGTTTTATGGTGTTTTGGAAAGTTATAGGGTCAAATATAGAACGTTCCATTTTTAAATTGAAATTTGCCAATTAAGTAATGTTACCTTTGAGACGGTGTGGTAGCCCAGGAATGAGAATTACCCCCATAATGGCATACCATTTGAAAAAGTAGACAACCCAAGGTATTGAACGTGGGGTATGTTTAGTCTTTTTAAGTAGCCACTTAGTCACAAACACTGGCCAAAGTTAGCGTTCATATTTGTTTTTGTGTGAAAAAAGCAAAAAACTAATATTTGGCCAGTGTTTGTGACTAAGTGGCTACTAAAAATGACTGGACATACCCCCTTGGATTGTCTACTTTTGCAAATGGTATGTTATAATTCTACATAATTAGATCATTTTATTAATTACAATTTGCGGGACCTGCCTGATTTAATTTGTTAGCACTATATTTAACCCTGTAACTTTCCAAGACACCATAAAACCTGTACATAGGGGGTACTGTTTTACTCAGAAGGCTTCGCTGAACACAATTATTAGTGTTTCAAAACCGTAAAATGTATTACAACGATGATATCATCAGTGAAAGTGAAATTTCTTGTATTTTTCACACACAAATGGCACTACACTGACAATATAATTGTTGTGATATGTTTTACTTTTTAGAAACACTAATATTTGTGTTCAGTGAAGTTTCAGAGTATAACAGTACCCCTCATGTACATTCTTTATGGTGTTTTCAAAAGTTACAGGGTCAAATATAAGGCTTGCGTTTCAGTTTCTTCACATTGAAATTTGCCAGATTGGTTACGTTGCCTTTGAGACCGTATGGTAGCCCAGGAATGAAAATATGAAACATTTTAATATGAATAAAATATAAAAAAATGGGAGACTGTATGGTAGCCCAAGAATGAGAATTACCCCCATGATGGCATACCTAACCAGAATGCCAACTTTGGCCAGTGTTTGTGACCAAGTGGCTACTAAAAAAGACTGGACATACCCCATTTGCAATACTTTGGGTTGTCTACTATTGCAAATGGTATGTCATCATGGGGGTAATTCTTATTCCTGGGCTACCATACGGTCTCCCATAATATTTTTTCATATTTTATTCATATTAAATTACGTTTCATACCTAAATATGTGATGTAAAACGAAAGTCTTGTTTCCCCTAAATAGAATTACCTATAATAAGTGTGGGTGCACATAATATGAAAGAGGTGAATTACGGTTGAACAGACATATAGTGAAATTCCAGATTTTGTTTACGTTTTGTTTTGATCACAACGTGTACATTTGGCTCAGTCTTTAAGGGGTTAAAAGCAGCTTACTCAGTGCTGTCAAGGCTGAACTGCTACATACATTTGATAAGGAGGTATTTATGGCACAAGGGGCGTGGCTAAGGAGGTAGGCTATTGTTGTAGTGTTTAGAAAAACATTTTTTTGTGTGCAAAAACTACAAAGATTTCAGCATTAAAAAAGAAATGAAAATACAGCATCTTAAAGAGATCAAAATCTATCAAATGCATTAAAGTTGTTTTGGTTCCTGGAGTGTCACTTTGAGTGCTGTATATATTTTCTACTTTATTGATTAGCAAAACACTGCGCTTATGGCATTTTTTTTTTTTTTATCTTTGCTTAAAGGAACACTAGGCACCCAGACTACTTCAGCTCATTGAAGTGGTCTGGGTGCATATTCCCAGGTCCTTAACCCTGCAAAGGTAAGTATTGCCGTCTTCCAGATAGCCACTAGAGGGTCGTCCAGGCTGTTAGGCGACTTTTGGTCACCTAACTGACGTTGGATATCCTCATGCTATGCATGGGGACATCCAGCGTCACCCCAAACCCCCTAAGGAAGAGTTGTATAATGCTTTCCTGTGAGGGAAGTACTAATGCGTGCATGACCACTGGAGCGGAGCCTGAGCCAGCGTCTAGGGACATCAGGGCTGGACTCAGGTAAGTAAAAGAAGGTTTTTTGTTTTTGTTTGTTTTTTACCCTTTCTGTACCATAGAGGGGGGGGGGCTACAGTGCCAGGAAAACAACTGTAAAGAAATGAACCTAACTAAAATAAAACATTCCCTATGGACTTTCTGACTTGTTAAGAATTTCATCAATGGAGAACCTGTTATACAGGGAATGGAAGTCTGTAAATAATCACATAATTACAGTTTGAATGTACAGTTTGTCTCAAAATCTTACCTTAAAGGGTGTCACGTGCGTGGGCTATAGGCCCAGCCGAGACAGTGGGGAGAGTGTGGAAGTGACAGAGTTAATGACACCAGACCCCTGGTTACCTGTTGCTAGTCCCAGCAACCACTCAATTAACCCCTGCAATCCCTTCTACACTATCCCCCTTAGTACTACTGCCACCACCAAGACTTTTAAACCCGGGCGTCTTAGGTTACCCCACACACAGGAGAATTATAGTATCACAGTTCTACTTTTACTGATAAAACATATATAGTTAACCCCTTTTGGTAACGTGTTTACCTGAGCTTTCCTCTGGAGAGTGAAGCTCATAGAGAACAGAGACACAAGCTGATTAAGTAAACATTTAATCTGACAAAAAGGATTCACAGTGCTGAGTACAAAATACAGAAATAAATGACATACAGATAACAAATTGCAAAACAGTACATAAAATAAAATAGGAGAAAACACAAGAAATTCCTTACATATATTTACCCCATATAGAATTCTTGTGGGAGTCTTAGATGGTATAGGTCTCCTAGAAGTTACTGACAAAAGAAAAATGAATAACTGACTACCCTGGATAGTCCAACACCCTCATATATCTAAACTAGTTGTTTCTCAGTGGGCAGACCCCTGGGGGGGGGATCAGAGGGGGTTGGTCTGGAAGTCTATTGCCCACTCGTGGAAAATTCCTTGTGTCCAGCTCTGGTGATGGCTATCTAGATGTTTTATGGTCTAGGCCTGGTGCAAGATCAAAGACCACAATAAATGTCATCCCAAGGTTTACAAAAAACAACTCTTAACATATATAAACACACATCAAACACCAACTCATGCTTTTGGCATGACAAAGGGAAACTCTAAAATTAGAAATACAATCACTTATTCGTTTCTAATTAGTGTTTCTCAATGGGAGACCAGAGATAGACTAAGATTATCAGCAGATGAACTAAGGCTATTGTATAGCATCCAAATTTCAAATGAACAAAGTGAAACTTTAATATTAGGTGTGGCCAAGGTCTTTTTTTAGAATTTTTGGGTGACTTATAACAATTTACAGTGTATCTTATTTACACAGACTGCATTGTAAACACGTATATTTTAATCTATAGCCTGTATTCCTACCTCTATAGTGCCCCTGTGCCTTGTTAGATACAGTACCTCCACCCACACCTTCTTGAATAAAAGTAAAAAAAATAATAAAGGGTTTTACTCACAGTTTTCTAGTGCAGAGAATCTCTCAGAGCTGCTTATCACCCTGTTTCCCACAACATCTTTGAGGAGCCATGGACCCCTCCGACGATGGGCTACTGCAGTGCTCTCATGAGCGCATACATCCAAGCTTCCCCTTAGAAGAGAAATTATTTCAATGCTTTCTTCATGACACAGCAGCAGTCCATGAGGGCTGGTTTAGGAATGACTGCCTTAAGATAACACTGCACCTAGAACCTCAAGGCACTATAACAACTGCATTGAGCTAAAGTGGTTATACCTGGAATAAATAAATTCATATAATGCATAAGAAAAGTGTGTGCATGTACATAATATATCTTTTGTTCTGATATTTATTTTAAGATACAAATGCGATATATACTATATAATAAAATAACAAAAAGGGACTCTCTTCCCTCCAAACAACTTTAAACACTTCCCGAAGTCAATGAGCCAAATAATCTCTATGAGGAGATGCTAATTGGCGCAGCATGGTGATTGCTACACATGCTTACTTGCCGTCCAATGCTTCACTGGGGGGAAGGATTGGATTGCGTGAAATCATCAGTAATGATGATCTCAGCCATGAGAGAATTGGTGGCTGCGGGGAGACGGGTGCATGGGAGGATTAAAGGTAATTACTTCAATAATTGCTGGGGGGAGGGGAGATCAGTCTATAAATCTAAATAGCTTAACATTGAGAAGCATTTTTGAGGCCTATATATTTTAGAGTGTTGCATTATGTAGTCACGGAGTTGGGCCGTTCCTCCATTTTGTAAACACACCCATTTAATTTAAAAGATGTCTTAAGCCTGATCCTTCCAATAGACACATTTTGCTGTACAGAATTGGAGGGCCAACTTGAAGAAAATACCTGTACGGTACATTTTTGGTATTGAGTAGTTTAAAAAGGTTAAACCTGGGTCCAGGCTCAGGCCAGTCCCTAGGAGATAATTTCATATAGAGAAAACCTTATGCTAAAACGATAGATTTCACTGCACTCCCACTAACCATGATAATATGTATCCAGGACATCACAGCCCTTGTAGCACAAACTAGTTGTCAGTCGGTGCATATACCTAATCCTAGCTGGGTTACCAGAAATTCCACTTTACCACAGTTGTAAATTAATTTCCTTAATGGAAATATCATTTTCCAGTCCTCTGGCTGCATTCATCTAAATGGATCTTGCTCTCATCTTTTTGTAATGAACATTGTTCTTTTGGCTATTTCCCCCTTGTATATTTTGTGGGCTGTAGGATGTATCTGAGTCTTGCCGATGTAGTTGTGCTATCACAGATGTGCTCTACAAACGTACTATTAGGAGTTACTCTAACCCAAAAAATAAAACAATGTTTTTGGTTAGAGTAACCATTACCGGCATGCTACTGTTTGACTCCTCCTTCACAAAAAAAAAAACCTAGAGAATGGAAGAAAATCCTTACCTTCAATACCTGGCCGAGGCCAAGTTCTCCTTGCAGCCTGATCCTTCTATGGTGAGAACTTGGTTAGTATAAAGTGAGGTGCTGTGCCGCCATTGGTCATCTAGGAATACAGATTATTATTTCTATTGTTATCGAGTTGATTTAACAGGTAAAATTATCACACTGCGTATACGACTTCAAGCAGCAATACCACTTTAAGCCACTGAATTGATCATGGTGCGTGGAGTGATGTATAATTTATATTTGGACAGCTTTGACCTTCATTATTTTAGGCACATTCTTAAAGGGCAAACTGCTTCTAATGTATAAAAAAAGAATGCTTATTAAAACATTTTTTTTTTTTAAAGACTTTCTATTTTTTTTTAATTATTATTATTTATTATTATTATTATTTTTTTTTTATAGGTGTAAACTTGCTTCTCTAACCAAGAAGTATCATCATGGAGCCCGAAGTCATCCGAATGTATTCTTCATCTCCACCTCCTCTTGACAGTGTTGCAGACGATGATGAAGACGATGAATTTGGAGAATTTGGGGGCTTCTCCGGAGTCGGTAATTCTGGAATGGGATTTTCAGATTTTGATGCAGTTAATTATGCTAAATCTCACGAAGACTTTATCCCATCAAAACACTTCATGCCAATTCATGATTACTCAGATAATGTAAATAACTACAGTAGCCTTACCTCTGTCCCAGACAAACAAATCGTGTCTGAGATTACTTCCAAGAAGGGACCTTGCAGAGTGTTAGAAACTAACAACAGCAACGAATTATCACCATATATTGCTGCTCTGGAGAATAAAGGGAGCTTAGCAGAGAATTTGAAAAGGGCAGATTTCAATGTGGACTCAGAAAACAGCATTTCAGGTGTTGGCAGTACTGAATTAAATAGTAAGGAGGAGCCGATAGCTGGTACGTGTAATGGAGAGAAGGCACACTGTCCAGAGAATCTTACAAATGGGTTTGCAGTAGTAGATTCTGTTGACCCTCAGGGAAAAGAAGACCTGGACAGCATTCATGGTTCAAAGGGATTGAAGTCTTTCACTACTCTGAGTACAGATCTAGACTTAGAATTTACACCGAGTCCTGAGGATGAGTTTGCAGACTTTTCCTTATTTTCAAAAAATGACTCTGTACATCTAGAGCATTTGCACCTGAAAACAAACAGAGGTTCACATGAAGGAGAGACTGCAGATATCAAGGAAACCACTACACTGAACAGTAATGAAAATGATTCGATAAAGAAAGTACTTCCAGATCTGGTCTCTGGAAATGGGGACAAAGTAGGTGATCTGGATTGCACCAATTGCATTTCTGAAGGCGATACAATGTCAGATGACATTGTTGAACCCCATGTAGCATCTACCAGTGCTGTGATGCAGTTAATGGATACAGAACGTGTTTCCGGAAAAATTAGAGAGCTTGTACAAAATAAAGAGGATTTCCCAGAAACCGATGACGTTAGTTATGTCACACAAGTCCAGTCGTTGGAAATGGTCGAAACCAATCAAAACACAATACCAAATTTAAATAGTGATGATAATTACAATAGTGATGATTTGTCCAGTGTTTTAAAAGACAACATTTTAAGTGAGAATGAAAATGCCAGTCATCCTGTTAGTGAAAATGTGTTTTGGAACTCTGAAGTCCCTATTAGGAATCAACCACTTTCTTCAACAGACCATAGCAAAGTACAACTGGATGCAAATGTAAACAAACTTAATGATGACTTTGGTGAATTTGAGGAAATAAACACAGTCCCTTTTGAAGTGGAGCCAAAAGTAACACCAGACGAAACATCAGCATTTCAGGATTCTGGTGAAAAACATTCTGGATTTGAGTCTCACAATGATTTAGAATCGTTTGATGATTTTGGAGACTTTAATTCTACAGCAAAAACTGGAGACCAGAGTAGTTTTCAAGAATCTGATGATTTTGCGGACTTCAGTGCGGCTGGTAAAACCGACCAGTCTTCAGATTGGAAGGCTTTTGATGATGACCACATAGAAAGTTCAGCATGGAATGCATTTGATCAGGAGACTGACTACTCTGCTGCAGACTCAGAGTCTTGGCAGACACATAGGACAAACGTGCCTTCTAGTGACCAAGCCATAAACATGCAAAGCGATGTGACACCAGTATTTCATGAATCTGAACCTAATTTTCTCACTAATGGGTCAACAAGTGGATCTCAGGTAATGCTGTTTTTTCCTTTGTCTTAGAAGTGTTATTTAAGAATAGTTATAGCCTAAGCTACTATTTTCATGTCTCTCTATTGTCAATTGTTTTAAAACCGTACCGGCTTTCAAGAACATTTTAGTACTTCAAATCACAAATGCATAGTGTTTCAACCCAAGGCAGTGGCATTTTTATTGCCAAGCCTGACTTTAGCAGTTATGAAGTACTGTAAGTAGTGTCACTGTAAGTTATGTTATGTCCAAAGATGACCGTTGCTCCAGCCGGTATAGCAGGTGCTATGTGTTCTAGTATAGGATTACATGTTGATTGATGGCAGTGTGTGAAAAGATTGAGTATAAAAGGGTTAATAGCCCTAAGCCTCTAGATTTACAACTCTAACCAGACATAAAGTTACACCAGATTAACACTCAAATTCTACTTACACCACCCCAGGTCATTACGTAACCATTGGTAAAATCTAGGCTTTTTATTTGGGTGTCTTGTGTGGTCACCAACAATTTGGTAATGCGATAAATGTACATACTGTGAATTTGCTCAAGGTTTAATACATTGGCAGTCAGGACTGGAATGATGAGTGCACCTTATTTGTGGAACAAGTACTTAAAGGGGTAGAAAAGAGAGATATAATGTTTATACTTCCTTTATTGCATATTCTATTTTATTTTCAAATTTCTTATATATTCTGTTAATAGCTTGCTAGAGCTTCCTGTATGTGATTACATTTAGATTTACATAAAAACTTCTAAAGTAAGTTTACATCTGATTGAAAATTAAACTTTTTTCCCTGCACACTTTGACAGTAACAGCCAGGGGAGGCGTGGCTAGGGCTGCATGAACAGAAACACTAGGGATTTAACTCCTAAATGGAAGAGCAATGAAACTGCAGGGTTATAATCTCTACACTAAAACTACTTGTTTAAGTAAAAGTTGTTTTAATGCCTGTACTATCCATTTAAAGGAGAACTGCCATGTCCAACGGTTTTTAATATTCTGTTTACGTATCCCTATAATTAGCAAATCTGTATTTGTGAGGTACAAAAACAGAAAAATACATGGAGAAATCAACACCTTCAGATAGGTGCCTCCATCTTACCTTCCTTTCAATCATTGTTCGTTAACTCTGTCTTTTAAAGAAAGCAGTGACGAATAGAAATAAAGTGTCTGTTTCTCCCTGTAATTTGCCCTGGCTTTGACTTGTCTGAACTGGATTGTACTAATTCTTTAATAGAAATGTTACATGGGGCACCACATACAGTATGTGAATGATAACGCGAGCTGTAGGTGATTTCCCCCCATGTTTCCTTCAACAGTGTAAACATTATAGAAGTGACCGTTTCTTTAAATAAATTAAATACTCTATTAATGCCACAACTGCAAACTAAAAATAAAACATTTTACAACCCCCAACGAACTAGGCAGGAGCAAGCCTTTTCTGTAAGGGTGCGTGGCAAGATAATTTTTTAATATATCAGGCTTGATAGGGAGGATATTACCCAAGCCACTGTTTCCAATCCACCCTTCCATATCTTCATAGTGAACAGATGTGTTTTTTTTTTTTTATATCAACGTTATACTTTCTAGCACGTCTTTAAAACACCAAATAGAAACCGCATTTATGCACTTTATTCTCTGAAGAATATACAGAGTATGTGCTGAAAGGTGCAAATGGGTAACTTGTGCATACCGAGACCTATACACTTGCCTAGCTAGAACTTATATTCTGAGTGATCTGTAAGGATAATGTTGCAGCTGTAGAGTGCTATAACCATCAAAATGTGGTTTATTTGCCTGCTCTAAAGAGTTTACATAATGCAGGACTTACTCTTAATTTTGGTTCTGCCAGGTAGTAGATGTGCAGAACAGATAATCAGTGATCTATAATTCTCCCTCCTTTCTCTCCCAGATAAGAGCTGTGTAGGTCCAAGCCATGGTGCTATACTCAAAAAGACCAGGTTTCCTAACTAGATCGATAATATTATAGTTAAAGTTCCCAGCTATGCTTATCATAATTCCTTCTACAGCTACTTAACAAGTAACTTATTGTCTGTATAGCACTTTTTGGGCCAAAGGTATTGGCTACATTGAGGCAACTGCGTTCATAATATTTTATGTATATGCAGATAATGCAAGTCGATCACTTTTGTCTTTTCTTGCATAGCAATCATTACTGAGCCGTCTTGAACGAATCATTCAAGTCTGTTTTCCTCCTCCACCTGTATCTGAAACAGAAGAAAGTATACCATCCTTAGATGACCTCTTAACAGTCACACTCGAGAAAACCACAAAGTCCATGGCTGGCACCAGGTAAGAACACAGTTTGTGCTTCGTGAATATTATTCTCTGAAAGGGGATAAATTGGTGTTACATACAAAATATCCGGATAAGTATAGTCCCATGTCATCTCAGGACAGGTACAAGCCTGTCTCTACTCGCTATAATCAGGGGCTTCTAAATTGATAAGCTAGAGTTGAAAATCCCATTGCAGCCTTAAAACGATATCCCTATTTATTTTCCACTGTCAAGTAATGGTCTATATATGTGTTCCAGTAGTAGACTGCCCCAGGCATACCACATTTTATTTAGCTCACTTTTATTCCTTCAAGATTTAAGGGACACTGTAGGCACTGTAACCACTTCATCTCATTGAAGTGTTTATAGTGTCTGGTCCTATCATTCCAATCGGTACTGCACCGTGTGACTGACGTTCGGTGTCTCCGACCTCTGCATGGAGACATTGAACTTTTCTCATAAAGATGCATTGATTCAATGCATCTCTATGAGGAGATGCTGATTGGCCAGGGCTGTGTTTGGCTTTTGCCGGCTCTGCCCCTGAACTGCCTCCTTGACATTCCCGGCCAATCTAATGCTTTCCTATGGGAAGCAGACTGGCATAATAGTAAGATTTTACTATATTTAGTGGAGCGGGGGGCGGAGGGAGGGTGTGCATATAGTGTTTTTTACATACATGTTTGTGTTTCTGACCCTACAGTGTTCCTTTAACATGTCGTAACTCTAGGATTTAGCACTTAGCCTGGCTAAATGACCGTTTGTGATTTGAAAAGTGTTGTAGGAATAGTTAATAAATACAAAGACCTGATTCATTGTCAATGGATAATACAATTATTTATATTTAAGGTCTACAAATACCATAACCACTGCAGCCTGCTATGCTGGTTTTGGTGCCAAAAAGTAGGTCCACAGTAAGTAGTCAAACCATTTTTAGTAGTTTGGCAAGTTACCAGGATCCTGTTCATGGATATATTTATGGGGCCATCAACATGGTGACGGTAAACCCAAACTATATGCAAAAAGAAAAGAAATTTATACTGTAACACCAGGAACTAGCCGTGAATACTCTTTTTTTTTTTTTCATCCACTCAAAATGAACCCGGCAACGTTTTGACCTATGACAGTCTTTGTCAAGCCTGGTTTGACAGCCAACTACCGGATGAGAGTTCTGTGATGTTTCACATAAGCTGTTTAGTGAGTGGTTTCCTCTTTATCCTATTTCATTAGGTGGATATATTTTTTTAGAGATAAATTATAGAAGAGAATAGATAAGGTTAATGATGGTTTCATAAGGTATAAAGAAGCAGAATCATTTTTTCCATATTACAACATTTAGTCTTTGGCGGTTTTGGCCCGCAGCAGCCCCTGTGTGGGGGTTTCCACCGCAAACAGGCAGCTGCCAAAGGGGTGTTATTCCACCGTTACATTAAAAAGGAGAAAGGTGGTCAACAGTGTGTAACGCTGAGCAAAGTATACTCTCATATATTTATGTAAGGAGAGGTTACCCCAAGTACAGTGTTCTAGGTAGACAGAGGAATGTCCACACCGGAGCCTTGTGTATCCTTTCATTTGACATGCCTGTGAATGTTGTTAGAATTCTTAGTGACAGGGGTAGTGGTGTCTGCGTGATGAGTTGTCCAGATTGGTAGCTGCAGGGTGTGAGCGAGAGTCATCCCATCATGTGGACATTAAATGGATATTTTAACTACCAACAACCAGAGCCAGAATCTTAGTGAACAAGTTCTTGCCCTCAATTTGTTAGGGTGTAATTTTTTTTATTTTTTTTTAATTCTTTATTTTATTTGTGCATATATTTAACAATCATATTCGCACTGCCACGACAGCTGGGGCAAAACGTAATGGATACATGCTGTAACAGATACGTGGCATAATACTAAACAGTGCACATTTTTATATACACAAAACCAAGTCGCTACATCTTTTTTCCGAGTACAGGCTTTGTATGTCAGCAACTATCACATTTTTCATTCTCAGGCATGCATTCATTGTTATTTATTTTATTTTACATTACACCTGTTAGCCGTGTGTAGTCTGTATATGTTGCGTGTTCTCTGTGGTTCGCAAATATTGGGGCCTGTATTGTATGGGGAGATTATCAAGTCATACAGGAGGTCTTAGCCTGCATTGGGTAGCGCGTTGACTGTTTTTCCCTCTTCACCACAGCTCTACGCGCGCACCGTCACCGCTCTCCCCCACCTTGTGAGTTGCATTTGCTCTACTTAGCTTTGTGTTTTGAGTATAGTGAGGGAAAGAAAGAGAAAGACAGAAAGTGGGGTATTAGAGGTGAATGAAGGGGGGGGAGGGGTGTTGGGGGGGTAGCGGCATCAGCGATTCTTTCTAGTGTTCGACTTGCTATTGATGGGAGGGCATGTTGGGCCTCTCTATGCTAGGGGGCTGCCATCCCAGGGTGCCCATATTTTTTGGAACTGTTTTTCCGTTCCCCTAACTCTTGCCGTCAGGTCGTCCATTGTACGTACCTCTCTTATTCTAGTTATGACCCCTGCTACCGCCGGGGTTGATGAGGGTGTAATTTTTTAAATTGAAAAAAAAAAAAAGTAGATTTATTTTTTCTTACCATGCAAACACTATTTGATGCATGTTTATTGTAGGATTCTGATGGGGTTTTTTGTGTTGGTAAACATAATGCCAGGAATTATTATTATTTATATAGTGCCAACTTATTTCACAGCCCTTTTCAATCATTGAATGGGTATAATTGACAAATAGTAGTTGACATACAGAATATTAACAGAGACAAAAGGTGAAGGAGGCCCTGCTCAAAAGCGCTTACAATCTATGAGGAAGGGATATAGACACAAGGAATAGCATCCTTCACCCCCTCCCTCCCTCTGACATGCTAAGATACCTTTGTTTTAAGTGGTGTGTGGAAGAAAAGCTAGGGTATGGAGGCAAAGGAACTGAGGAGGACAATTCTAATGAGAGAAGTGTCACCTAATAAGATAGTAGGCTTTCCTAAAGAGGTATTTTTTTTAGTTTTTTACTTGCTTCTTAAAGAACCGAAATCTTGGGAAAAGTCTGGCACCAAGTGGGGAATTCCATAGGAATTATTCTGCCCTTTATAAATCATACCAGAACAAGCAGATATCAAAAGAAGTTTGCTTGCAGAACAAAGGGGGCGAGAAGGTGTGCATATATTGGGTGGAGAGGAATTGTTGAAAGCTTTGTAGGCAAATGTTAGCAGTTTGGCTTCCTGGAACCATCAGGATCCAATTAAATGCAAACAATCTTTATAATGAACTTACTGACTTTATTTTGCCTACTATTGAATCTTCTTTGTTATTGGTAAATATAATTTAATTTGCTTTTCTAACAGTTACTTTAGTGAAACAGTAGTTTGATGGTCATTTGCAAACTTTAATGTTTCTGTTTCCTGATTCAGTGCAGTACATGTCTTTAGGTTTTCATTCTCTTTTACATGGTTGATATCACAGGTGTGTTGGGCATATTTCAGATTAATGGTGGACATGGAGTCTGAGCGTGTTAACAATACCTTGTGATTTGTATTTTTTTTTATTTATTTTTTTTGTCCCCCCAACCCATACAGAGAAGTGCTGGACATATGGCCAGAGCTCCAGGATATCCATGATGTCTATGCACTGAAGCACCAATGGGGAGGTTCGCAAAGCAACAAAAAACTCCTTTGTTCCTTAGGAATCGACACGAGGAATATAGTACGTTTTAAACATTTTTATTTTATTTTCAGGGTGTTTTTAGTGGGGCATTTTTAGTTGTTTGTACATGTCTATAAACTATTACCTGTATATTTTATTTAGTTTCATAAAAGGAGCACTCCAAGCACTATAACTACAGCATGCCCCCATGTTGGTGGTGAGGTTGCTAACAATGTGACTTCTTACCCGCGGTCTGCCAGACGCTTCTTCCTGCCTCAATGAGAACTGGAAGCTCAGAGCTTATCCCTAAGGTGATGCAGGGCGTTGCTCATTGGCTTAAAAAAAGTATCAGCTGACACGCAGCCAATAGGCTGGCCCTGCATTGCAGGATTTAGTCCAGGAGAGCTCCGGTTCCTAGCAACAGCTTCTGGCTCTGTGTACCAGACAAGGTAGTGGGTGGCGGCTGACAAACTCATGGTAAGAAGTCAAACCGTTGGCAAACAGCTTCACTACTTATATTGGGCACAGCACTAGGCTCTCATGGCACCATACACACTACAGTGCTTGGAGTATTCCTTTAAACATTGAGTTAGCTACAACTTGCAAACTTTAGACCACAGTAGCCAAGTTTACGGAATAAGTATTTGGAATTTAGGGCCTTGATTTTAAAAGATGATTTTCAGCTTATTTAGTGACCATACTGCTTCAATTACACAACCATTATTACATCAAAATCAGAAAATTAGTCTTTGGGTGCTTGTCCCTGTGTTTTGAATGGTTGGCGAGAGGGGATAATGACTTCACTTCAATGGCATTCTGTTGGCATTAGTCAGGAAATTTGAGATTCAGATTACTTTCTGAACAGTCCAGCAGAGGGCAGACGTTTCACAGCTGTCTCGTCCTCTGCATAATTGCAACATTATGTTTACCTCTGTAACTTTAAGTATGAAAGAGATCTTAAAAGCTAAAAGCACGGTCCTTTCGTGTCTTTCCAAAACACAGCTTGAAATTCCCTAATGAAATCATTAATCAAGCCATGTCTGTGTACATTGTATGGGTATCTTTTGGAGACTGAGCCTCGTTATCGTTCTTTAATGGGAAGGTATACGCTATGAGTTTGTGAAGACATTTACAATTCGATTTTGTTTAGTATCCTAGACAATTGTGTGCATTCAGTTTACTGTTTACTTTTTGTAGCTTTTTACAGGCAACAAGAAACAACCAGTAATTGTGCCTATGTATGCAGCTGGTCTGGTAAGCTCCCTGTTACGATAAGTATAAGTATTTTTAGTAAAAATCTATTAAAATGTTATTTATTATTATTTCTCAGAGTTCTTATATTCTGTTTTTGTTGCAATGCATTTGCATGGGCTCTCCTTGATCTAAAATGGTAATCCAGACATGGACCCCGTGCTCACTGTGCCTAGAGGGGTATCAGCTACACCTCACTGATGAGGCCCACAGAAGGCCAAAACAATTGTCCAGGGCTGCTGTATTTCTCATACAGAGAGAATTTGCCGGAATTTTAGTCTGATATGCAAATGGTATAGGTTCTCTTTGTAATTTATTATTTGTTGCCTGATAGTGGAAAGCCCTCCTGTGTCTTTACAGATGCTTGCCTTCTTACATGTAATTCCTCTTCACATTCCTCCACTGAAAATGGCACTGCCACGTTTCCTAAGTTTGGGAGGTATCCAATACACATAGTAGAGTCACTGAATACGTTATTTGAAATACAAATATCAATGAAATTCTTCCTACACTTTTGTAAGGTATGAATTTGGGAGGGATCTTGGCAAGGCTAGGAGGAAAGGCATGAGAATGACATGCAGGTAAGGAAAGCAAGGAATGTCTGTTTTGGGCATTCAGCTGTAGCACCCTGCTGGTTCTAAATGCAACTGCAATTGGCACAATTTATTGCCAGCTCAGTACATGAACCTGTTTTACACTTTTAGTTAGATTATATAGTGTACTGCTGCCAATTATTACTGTATGTTTATGTAGGAAAGGTAAACCCTGATAAATTAAACGTTTGGGTCCCAAATCATTAAGCAAACTTAATTTCTTTCCCTGTGAGCACTGCGGTTTTGTTGTTTGTTTGACTAAATTATTAGAAGTGGCAAATTAAGACCAGCACTGTAAATCTATTGTATTTTTATTTATTTACATTACATATTGTCACATACGCAGAATATTTCAGGTAAAGCTCCTGTACGTGGCCCTCACGTTGGTTAACTATTAGTGATTTGACCACAAGTGGGGAGCTCAAAAAAACAGCATTCCACACAGAGGACAAACTACAAAGGCTAGTCACACAGCCTTCCCTAATCGTTTTCAAACCGTTTTTAAACCGCCTCCAAACCCAAGACAGTTGATGAAGAGCTTGACCATAAACCGCAGTATAGGAATAGGCACATTTCCCTGCTTACAGAAGAGCTTAAGCAACCTGTGTCCACATCTGTAGTACAAATATGGCACCTATACTTCAGGTCCACATGTGGCACAAGATCAGAAGTACCTGCATCTATCTGTAATTCATCAAATGTGGTTTAGCACATCATGTGTGGGGGAAACTATCCTTCCTTTACATTAAAGGTTCCATTTCCACACATTAAAAAAGAAAACAATGCCTGTGTAAACAGGCACAGCATTGTGGATATTAAGGGGACACTATAGGTACCATAAGTGTTTCATCTCTTTAAAGTTGTGACAGTGCCTGGAGTTCCTTGGTAATTTCTCATAGTTCAGGGTTAAACCATTTATGAATAATTTAACACTGAATAAGGGTCCCTTGGCATACAGTGCCTTACCTTCAGTGTAGGTATGGCTAAGGCAGTGTTACACTTGTACCTTTATTTCTGCTAATGCTGAAGCATTACCTGAGAAGCACGGAGATTCTGCACTGCAGATGCATGAGAAGCTTCATTCTGTGTTAAATAGTTTAACACAAAGAGCTGGCACCATAACAACTTCAATTAGGTCAAGTGGTTATGGTGCCTAAAGTGTCCCTTTAACATCACCGTACTCTTGGGATCTGTATTGTTGGTTCACATACTGCATGTAAGAATACATTGTGTGTACTTTCGAACTTGGCCTTACAGTAACCATATTTCATAAAACCAACAAGATATTTGTGAGGTTTTTTTTTTAGTCTTGTGTTTTATTTATTTATTTATTTGGCGGGGAATGCTCTGGTTAAACACCTCTACAATACAATATTAGTATTTCTGTCTAAAAAGGGACTGCTCCTTTCAACAAGGAACTCTTGAAAATGTCTAGTGCATTTTATATATGCGTTCATGTTGTAAACTATATTCTTGATTTATGTGCAGGGTATGCTGGAGCCAACCAAGGAGCCTCTAAAGCCTTTATCTGCTGCAGAAAAAATTGCATCAATAGGACAATCTTCACCTGTCCATCCAGCTGAGGGCATTTGTGCTTCTGTCCAGTTACAGGTGTGCCTTTTAAGTCATTTACTAGAAGCACAGAGTGTTTGGGGCCTGAGCTGAAATAATCCTTAGATGTTCCTTTTCTGGTTTTGTTTTGGGTTTTATTGTTGATCTGAAATATTCAGATACAAATTCTTCCAAAATAGGGAGAGGAAATAACTTTTTTTGTGTGTGTTGGGGTGGGAGGGGGGAGTGCCTGTCTGGATGTAAAATATAGAGCACGTAGGGACATAGTTATCTGTTTAGTAAAAGTCCAATGAGAGTAAAATTAACTTTTCCTAATCTTTGCTTTCATCAAGATCCATCACTTGGTGGATAACAATGGGAACAGCATGTTTCATGGTGGCACATCACATCTATCAACATAGACACATGTCCAAAAGTTGCTTTTTATGCCAAATGAAGATTTATATAATTTTGTAACATTTATTCAAAATCAAGCAGACAGATTCTTCTTTTTGTTCTCATTAAATATTTAAAACACTTCTTGTCTTATGCCAATCGGTATACCATTGAGGTTGGTTTTGATGCAATCTAATTGTACCCATTCTGTTTACTTTCGTTGCAGGAATCGCTCCCTCCTGTCCAGTTCGACTGGAGCAGCAGTGGCCTTACCAACCCATTAGATGGTACGTCTCTCCGTAGAACCTCTAGCACCAGAGCTAGACTTAAGAAAGCTTCAGAATTCAAACAGTCCTCTCTGTGCTGATCTTTCCTCTTCTCTTTTTTTAGTGTAATCTTGGAAACATTCAGGCTTTCTTTCTGCTTTTCTTCACCAGCCCTGCCAATTAAATTTTGGTGCATAAAGCCTATTGGTAAAAATGTTTTGTTAGTGTTAGGGTTATGAAAATATATTATGTATAATAGCTGCTGTGTTCTAGACAACACAAGCATTTGTCTTTCTGTAACCAACTAACAGATTCTTTGTGAAAACCCTTTTCTTTGTTTTATCCATTTATCTTCTATTATCCAAAGGAAAACCAGGTATGTTTTATAGACTATATTTTTTTCGCCTCTTTTACAGTCTCTATTTCCATTTCCATCCTTTTATGGGGTTTTCTCTACCTCCTTAAACCAGTCAGTATTACTATTACGTAGCAGTATTTATCAGAGATATCTTGGTATATTGAATGTCACTTAAAAAAAAAAATCTGGTATTTTTACACGCTGCACTGGGTGGTGGATAATCATGAAAAGCCCACAGAGCCCATGTGTGTATTCACCGTATCTCAAAAAATTAAATCCAATTTAATATATTGTTTCCAAATTATTTTCCAATCTTACAATTTACTAACAATTGGTTTGATTGACAAAATGAGATTATGTTCTCATCCGTGGGTTTTACCCAGTATCTGATGACAGAAGGAAAGCCTGGATGAGTTGATTTCCTATTTACCACTGTTGTCTGGTGAAATGTGTCCAATTAATTTAGTTTTTTAATCTATTTTAGTGTCTAAAAGGGGAACAATTCAGCTGCTTGTTTATTTTTCTTTGAACAAATCCACATATCATTCTTACACTTTGTGTTTTATAGAGAAGAATTCCACATAACTTTGCAGTTTGTGTAGCCCTCTTCATCAACAATCACAGGGGTACAATAATATTTCATGGGAACCACAATATGTCAGATTTTTTTTTTTTAATCTTGTTGCAGTCAGTCATATTTACTCACGATGGTTTTATTTATACAGTGTGTATTTTCTGTCTTGGCACCCTTACTGTGGCACTACTGTGTTAGCCACTGACATAAAGCGAGGGCTCCCGTTTATCACCATGAAACCAAATTGACAACAATAGAATCCCCTTGGAGTCATAGTTTACCTTATTAATCTTGGGGTATGAGTAGGTAGTTTCCTGTAGAGTTGTGTTTTTTTCACACTTTGTTTCCTCTTTCATTTAGTCATATTGCAGCACCGTTCAATGGTCAAATCATTGTGCTTGTATCCACATACAGGGTTTTCACTGAAGTGGCCTAAAATTTAAAATTTATTGTGCTTTCAATTCACAAAGGAGATAAACTGAAAAAATCTGACTTGGAGTTTCTTTGTGGTCTGACAGTAGAAATTAATTTTAAATTCAATGCCACTGAGACCATAGCAAAGCCTTTAAAGTTTCAATATGGTGGCACTTCAAAAGTTTTAACAGAGGTATGGATTTTTTTGGTTTTGTTATTTATTTATTTAAAATCTATTCATACAAGGGTCTAGAGAGATATCCAATCTAGTTGTCCTGACACAAAATACTTTAATTTACAAAGTATGCTGACTGCATGCAATGTGTGTTCTGCCTACATGTAGTGTGGTGTGTGTGTGTGTGTGTGTGTATTGGTCTGATTTAGTGTGTGCACTAGCTAAATGTAGTGTGTGTGTGTGTGTGTGTGTGTGTGTGTGTGTGCGCGCGCGCGCATGCGTGCCCTGGTTATATGCAGTGTGTGTGTGTGGTGTGTGCTGGCTAAATGTAGTGTGCGTATGTATGTGCATGTATAAATGAGTATATGTAGCATACTCTCACAGATCCCATACAAAATTTTATTGTGATTATTGAATTAATCAAAATTGTCCACACTGACACACATGCCCACAAACACACACATTGACCCACTTACACACAAACTATATATTCTGTGCAGTAACTTGCATCTTTCACATTACCAACAGCCTTCATAGTCCAGCACTTGGTCGGTAGCTTGTCCCATTCACTTCTCCCTCCTTCAAGAATGAGTGTCTGCCGCCAAGATATGACATCATGCTGCATCCTGGCGGCCTGTATCTCTGTGCATTGCAAAGAGCCTCTGCCACAACTCACCACTCCTTAGCGGTATACTGCTCTGCAAAATTTCCCAGTGGGCCAGTCCTTCCCAGGCAGTCCATGGCTGAAAGAATAGAAAAACAACCTGCCCAGCACCCCAAACTGCATGTTGCATTAGTCAGGTGAAAAAAATTCCACATCCCTGCTTGAAGTTATTCAAATTTTAACTGAAGTACATGTTGTTCTAGATTAAATCCCATGATTATATTATTTACGTTACTTAAAATAGCATTTTTAGGAGTTTATATTCTAAGCAATGTGCTTTAGTTAAAAAAAAAAAAATCACGTTTGTAACTCCAATCACGTGTCCATCCCCAACCCCTCCCCCTCCAATTTGACTTTATTCACCTGCATTTTAGAAGTTTAATAAGACCACAAATCTCCTTGTTAAAGTGAATAATCCCTTTGCGGTGTGGTAACCACTCATTGTTCTTAACATGCTGTTTCCCCCTAGCAAATTCTAGATTTAAATCTTTACACTTACGCTGAATTTTTTCCCTTTTAAACCATATCATTATATTTAGATTTATGAATTGTATTCTTTAAGCACCTCTTTCTACTGTTTTCACTCTAACGATTAACACTGTAGGATGTTGGTATTTTCTCACTGGAATGAATACTAGCCAGTACTTGCATGTTTAAGTGTGTGTCTTACCCCCTTTTTGCACACAAACCCCATTCTTTTGGCTTACCTTCTTTACGGCTGAATTCCAACATGGTCACTGAATTTCAAGCTAATGGAGGTTCCACTCTTCTGAACCTTGATTTCTTTGGGCCCGTGGATGAAAGTGGCTCCAGCACCACCACTTTCCCAGGTCAGCTGAGTGTCCGTAACGCTAAGTAGACTTCAAATGGTTTTCTGTGAAAGCATGAAACCCATGGCTTTCCTATAAACAAGATGCCTGTTTCTGTTGCACTTGCAGTGGTTTTGTCTGTCGTTTGTAATCTGTTTGTAAAAATCAAAATTTGAATGTTCCATGAACCTAATCGAACTCCGAACCCGCTACTGAAATTGTCCCAGATAATTTTTTTTAATTTAATGATTATTTAATCTTGCTATGCATTAATGACGCATTTGTTTTTCTAATTTGTTAAAAGTAGATGTTAACCTTAGTGTGTTTGAGAGAGGAAAAAAAGCGCATTAAAACTGTCTGAATCAATGTTTCAGTCACTTATATTTTTAATTCTACTATAATAAAGTCATGCAAAAAAAGCACAATATTGTAATTTTTCTTCTGAGAGAATTTTTTTTATTTGTTTTCATTCTGCCAGTAATATTTTTTTTTTCATGCCCTTTTTGTTATAGATACACATATTTAACAAGCATTATGCATACATAATTAAATGGTCATTAACACCTTAATATATACAAATTCTACTTGGAACCTACAGGAATCTCAATGTGTGCTTCCTGGTAGAGTATCAATAATATAAGTAACTTTTATACGTGATAGCACACAAGCACAGCAAATATGTCAAATATCAGAAATTGTCAACTGTACATTTTATTGCCAGAAGGAGCAATGCACATTAGACAACTCAAGTAATGTTGCATCACGTACATGTTGTATTATTATTTTATTATTTATATAGCGCCAACAAATTCCGTAGCACTGTACAATGGGTGGACTAACAGACACATAATTGAGATCAGACCACTGGACGTACAGGAACAGAGGGGGTTGAGGGCCCTGCTCGATGAGCTTACATGCTAGAGGGAGTGGGGTATGGTGACACAACGGGTTAAAGTAGGGAATTAAATAGTTTGTTAGAGAAGGGTTTATTGAGTGCTTGGTAGGTCATTTTTGACAGTTTCAGGAAAGGAGTCACGGGGTGGGGGGTATTCTGACTAAATGCTGGATGTTTCCAAACAATCAAAACTACACTTAAATTAAAAGGGTTATTCACAAAAGTGAGAATTATGTGAATTACAAATGTAAGGTGAAAATAGCTGAACTGAAAGAGTCAGATAGTGTGATCTAAAATTGTCAATTCAGTTATCACTAGTGCAGGGATAGGCAATCTCCAGCACTTCACATTTTGAGGACTTTTTCTCTCCTGATGCTTTGCCAGCAGTATGACTGCAAGAGAATTATGGGAGATGTGGCATACAAAATCTGAAGTGCTGATGGGTTGCCTATCGCTGCTTTAGTAAATAACCCTGGTAGTCAAACAGCCAGTAGATTAAATGAAGAGAGTGCATTTTTGGCGGTTCCTTCTGGTAGGGGTGTAAGCCTGAGTAAAATCTCTCTTATATAAACTGAAGTTTCAGGTTATTTTGAGGTAAAGTGCTTTTTTATTTAGTTAACCTAGCTCAATCTCTTCAGGCCAAAGAACTAAAATTTCCTTAGATTTATTAGGACAATATCTATTGCCCTCATACGTACATTAAAGAACCACTTTATTTCAATGAAGTGGTGTGGGTGCAGTGGTCCTCTCATTTTAACCCTGCAATGTGGTTTTGTAGAAACTGTAATATTAACACCTCTTGTAACAGCCACTAGAAGCATTTCCTCCTCCAGAACAGAGAAGCAGCATTTTATTGGAGAAGCACAGTGTTTTTGCTGTGCATATATTTCTCCAATTCATTGCTTCTCTATGAGAAGTATTGGATTGGAGCAGATCGTGGAAGATGTTTGCAGGCATGTTGACATCTTTTGAAGGAGGATTGGAGGCTGCAGCAGAGGAGTCTCACTGCTGGAAACATGAGTAATCATTTGTTAACGTAATCTTTTTAGTAGCAAAGGGGGTGGACCGAAGGTAACCTAAAGTCCCGAAAAAACAAATGTAATTTTCTGGACGGCAGGCTCCCCTCAACTAGTAATACGTGGCTGCTAATTCAGTATAGGCTATATAAAGAATAATTTGATATCTATGCATGTATTTCCAGAACAACCAACTAATCTCCTTTACATTTATTACTTGTTTCTGGGAAAGTCATGTTTTGTGGAGCTTGCTGAGGCTTTGGGCATGGGTTTCCTTTCTTGTTTACAAATAAACTTACCTGGGAACTCTCACATGGATTCAATTCACGTTCTTTATGATCTCTGGGAGTGAAGCCTTTCTCTCCTGATCTCTGTCTAGAGTAACTTACTTAAATCCTCTACTTTGATTGGCTATAACTAGACTGGAGGATCCTACCTAGATTGGAGTCATTTGTTCACAATTTGTGACTCCGAGAATTTTTACGTACCTTAATACAGGTGAGAAAATCTGGCGTTCAAATAGTAATGCCTTTGGATAAGTTAGGATACCTTGAAACCTAGTTTGACAAAGATAACTAACGATAGCTAAATGCAAGATTTTGACATCTGTATGCTGCAGTTGGTATACGTTAAGTAAACTCTGAGTTCCCAGGTATGGTGTGCGTGGTTTTACATTGTGGTGGTGGTTTGTCAGTGACAATCATTTTCCAATTATTGGTGGAGGGCCCGGACTTCCCTGAATCAATGGATAAAGAATTTGGGGTATTAACCAGATGGTAGCACAATATAATCCCTTTCTGGAGGACTTTGCATATAAAGATCCTTAAACATTATGTCCTACAAGGTAAACAAATGTACCACCAAATGATCAATATGACATTTGAAACATTAGTTACAGTTCACTGCAACATAGGCTTGCAAATATCCGCACGACACTACTGTTTCCTATGCGGTCTCCTTTAACTAGACTTCTTTTACTATCTGGATAACTTTACTTGCAGCTTTCAGTAAACTTTCTTATTTACATCGTAAAATAAATGAATCAAATATTGAACCTATGTGTTTCACATAATATGTCCACGATCCATATTTTAAAAGGGGGCAGGGATATAGTATTATCTGAGAATGTTTAGGTAGTATTTGCTTTAGTAACAAATCTACAGTTGTTCGTGTTCAAGGTGGACGTGTCAAATCATGGTAAAAGCCTAGAAAGTGTCTTTAGGAGACAAATTAAGATGTCTGTCTCTGATAGGTTTGTGAACTGATTATGCACATAACAAATTACCAAATTCAGCCAAGTATATATTTTATAACAAATTCTTCTAAATCTCGAAGTTTAGGAAACATGATCATCATAATGTTGACTGAGGTTCAACACCGCAGATTGTCCTTATTTTGTACTGTCCATTTCATTTTACTGTATAGGGGGTTCATTATCTCAAAGAGTCTTCTCTATAAAATTCTATTGAAAATCAAATTGTTCAACTTTAGGGACACATTTCTTTCCCATGTTTGCCTCTTTTAATAGATTTTCAAAATGACCAACCAAATATATTAAAGCATCCCAAATATTAAATTGTTGTGGTGTGATCATTGCTTTGGCAAGATAGCTGCTGATTACCACTTTAAATTGCAAGTGATTTTGTTTAATTGTGTGTGATAAGCATATTTCTGTAAATATCTGAGTTAATAAAATGAAATTTGTAAAAAGAAATTATCATTTTAAAATAGCATGCAAAGCATGCGTGAACTAATTTAATTATAAAAAACTTGCATTAAAAAAATGTTCGGTTAATGTGTAGTATGTATGTATGTATTTGTATGGGTATATCGCCATTTAAAGCTAAACTGTAAATGATCATAATCTAAAATCGCCTGCTTTTGTATCTAATTTATACAAAACATAATTATTAATTGATTACATTTAAATCCAAATTTCTCGTTTCCCCGAAAAAGTATTTTTGAGGGAAAACCAGAGTAACTCTGGTATTAATTGCTAAATTTGAAGTTACTGCCACTATCTTGTATTTTTTATGGTGTGTTATGTAAATTTGATACTATGTTCTAGGTGGCATATAACTCAGGCTGCTTATGCTTGTCAACCTGAAAAAAAATATTCTTATGATTTCAGATAAATACCACCATTATTATTTTTTTTAATCCTTTGGATTCTGACTCTAAATTGAATTGCAATTTCTCCCTTTTTATATCTCTACAGTTATATCATGTTACTGGAATTCAAATTTAGATTTTTTTTTGTTCATGTTACACTACTCAGATGTTTAAAGAAGTAGGTGGTCTGTATGTGTTTTGGTAGGTTTAGATTATTATGTACAAGCACTGCAATCCACCGTTAATTAGTTATTTTATACCATAAGGTGTGGATCCAGAGTTGTACGCATTGACAACATCAAAAGTGGATTCCTCTGCAACTGGCAGCAGGGTAACCGACGCGTTTGCAAGACTCATGTCTACGGCAGAGACCACAAGCACATCGACAAGGTAAATTATGGTCTTGTTTTTTTCTTTCAAGACTGTTTAGTTAGTAGCTGTTAGCAATAATGGTGTAACTTCTTTATCTTCTTAGAGAACAGACTTTGAAAACCTGTTGTCCCACACATTTTTGTAGTGCAGACCCATGTAGTGACCTCTTTCTTCCCCTCAGTTACCCGCATGCATGCAAATATTTCACATTAGGGATCTTTGTACATATGTTATTGTGCCAGTGCGATAAAATCTATATTCAATTGTGTGGTCTTCAAAGAACTTCCATATACCTCAGTGTTGGGCCATCATGCATGTGCACGAGTACAAGATTGAGACGGGTTCTGGTAGATGAAGTGCAATGAACTTAAGAGACACAGAGGTGCTAAGGAGGAACAGCCATGGGAATATTTCATTACATTCCCCCCGTCTCCCTCCTCCCGAGTGTCATACAAGTGGATATGTCACATTTGGAGGGGATCGTTGATAAAATTAAAAAGTAAAGTCCACAAAGAACTAAAGTAATAGGAAAGGGGAATTTAGTTTACTTTATATTCTCCAGCATTAATCAGAAGTCTCACCTGTGGGGGTTTGTGCAAAAAAGACAATTATCTTGGGCATGGATGATTTAAAATAAAATAGTGTATATACATTTACTACCATTTTGCCTAACATAATGTATACATTTTATATTCTTCAATGTAAGCTTTTAAAATATTTCCATTTTAGCATTCTTTACTTGAAAAATAAATACATTGAATTATTTAATGGCTCAGACTTCCATGTGCTTTATAAATGGGATACAATAGTTTGTTGGTTTTTTTTTTTTTTTTTTTTTTTTTTTTTTTTTTTTTTTTTTTTTATATTCTTTGGTTGCCCAGATAGGCAGACAGAAAGGCCACCTTTTGAAACGTCAACTTAACCATTTGAAATTAAATTTGAGAAATTTATTCTAAAATAATATATTTATTCTACAGGCATGCATTGTCTTTAAAGAATGCAGTTGCAATCTAGTAAACATTGGTCACCCAAGGCCATAAATGTTGCTTTTTTTTATATGGTTTCTGGTAAAAATTCTCCCTGGTTATCCAACATAAGGAAAGCTTCTCTTTATAATCTACTGTACATTGTTGGTATCCCTATGCTGAAATGTTTTGCTAGACTTCTGAACAAGTCCAACACTGATCTTTGTTTCTAATTATTCACAGAAAACCTAAAAGGGAGGAGAACTTAAGCGAAGAGGCTGCCAATGTCATCTCCAGCCTCCCCGATCTATCTTTCATGCACGCCAAGGTGCTGATGTTTCCAGCCACTTTAACACCTTCATCAAATTCCCAAGAGACGGTAGACTGATTCAAAGAGAAGAAAGGAAAAACAAACTGAGATAAACCCAAACATGTTGGATGTTTTATATCCAAACTTTTTAAGAGTATATATAAAAAAAAAGTGTTCTTGCTTTTACATAAAATCAAAAGTTTAAATGATTTGTTGGTAAGCAGCACTAAAAAGGTATATACATTGTAATGTATATTTCAACACTGAATAATTCATTTATATGAGAAATTTAGTTGATTTGTATATACAGGAAAAGGGTATTTTTTTTTTTTTTATGTTTTATTTTTTTGACATGCTGGGGTACATACACTGGTGGATCCTTTCTTACAAAAAAATCAACGACTAAATGTGAACATGCAAAACCTTCACTGCCTGTAAGTCTGTTTAGATTACATTTTCCTTCCAGGTGTATTGGCGTTAATTGTACTGTTACATTTAAATGTTCAGTGTTTATTTTGTGTTTTCATTATGACCTGGAAAGTCACAGATTAAATCCTTTCTCTGCCAGTGGAGCATTATTGCTCCCCTAACGAGAGTGAAAAGGTCAGGATATTTTCCTAACAGATCATTTTAGTGGGTTATTTGCTGTATTTTATGATTAAAATCAACTTTCAGACTGTCTCTCCTGTCCCAGTCTGTTTCTGTGTGTTGCAAATGACATTAATCTTTGAAGTACAGGTGATTGAGGGCTTGATTTTGGGTTAAGAAGGACCAAAATAATCTGAATGTCTTTATAAAACATTGATTACTGTTCTGATTTAGTTTGTATTATTTGTGTCTATTGTACCGCTATCCCCCTGATTTGCACAGTGTGAAGAGGCGTAATCATAGGTCACTATGGTTTAGGCTGTACATACATTGAAGACTCTGGGATGTAAATGTTTGGGGAAATTCCTATGGAACATGAATTAAAATCTGATCTGTAACAGCAAGATCCACGTGCATGCCCAAGTTCTTTTGAAATGTAAGCGTGTACATTTTCTCTTAGCTTACACTGAAATAAAATAATTTAAATTATTATGTCTAACTTTTATTTTATTGCCTTAGTTTTCATGGTGTATTTATTAACACTACCTTCTGTAGTTATATATTGACACAACCAATAATGGGCCTCCCTTATGTTTTGCTTAGTTTGTAAACCAATGGTGATTAATTTTATGTAACTCTACGCCAATTTTGTTTTTGTAGTTAACCCGGTAAATGGCTTCTCAAAACCGACTTTCTGTGTGTGTGTGTGTGTGTGTGTGTGTGTGTGTGTATATATATTGCACATTACACCAGAATATATTGGAGAAAATGTTTAGTTTTTTATTTTGTTTTTGAGCAGTGGTCACGAATTGTTTCACTGTTACTGTCCTAAAATGAAATGTTTCAAGGAGAAAAAAATAATCTGATGATAAATACTGGTTGCTCTTTAGTGCATTTTTAGTGGAAAATAATAATAATAAAAATAAAAAAGGAAAATTTATATTAATTAGCCTGTATTTTTTAGCCATTTACAAAGTGATATAGAGCTATTTAACAGACCCTAAATAAAGTACTGGACTTAAAATAATTTTTTTTTTTTATATATTTTATTTTTAAATGATGATAAATTGAATAAATGAATGTACAGCATCTACCATGTAGGGTTATACCACATATACCTCCAGGTACCAATACTTGCTCAGCAGCCATAACTAATCTATGTTACACGGAGGAGAAGACACTATGATGGAATATTACACTGTTAGAAGAAATTGGTCTGCATTCTATTTGCTGTTATTGATTAAACTTCGTGTTGGTAATGTATATACTGAACAGAGCGGAAAAAACTAATATCACTTATGGTCTGCCAACGCCTAGACAGCTTCTACCCAACGTAAACCCCAACATGTATAAACTGGGTATAATACTAACCGCCTAGTATATTAACCTGTTCCTCGCATTAATGTCTCTCAACGTATAACTAAACATACTGTTACCTTATGTTGAAATCTCTGCTACGATCTCACAAGTTAACTACTTAAAGCATGCGTAAACTACCGCACATAGTTTGTTTAAAACATAACATTTAAATAATGTGCCGATATTCGCATGCCACAAATGTACAACTACTGTTTATATTTTTTTGAATATGCTGTTGTGGCATAGACAAACGTTTTGTTACTCCCTGCACAAAGAAAAATAAAGAATTAAAAAAACAAACTAATAATATAAGATTATAGTTCTCTCGTATTCACAGACTTTCATTTGTTTTGATTAGTATTCTCCCATATTATTATTCTGATTATTGTTATTATCTTTCTAAAAAGAAGGTAGTACTTATGTCCGTACTGGTGGGGAATGTCCCCTGTTGACGTTTTAATCATTTGATTCAGAGCAGAAAACCTTGCTTTAGTTATGTTGGTTCATTTATTAACAGTGGGACACCTCCATTTCTACTTGAGTTTCATACCCAGTCTATTGTAATTCTTAATTCCATATAATTTTACACGCCATATGTTCTCCTCCATTGATATTGCCCGGGCTGTAATCCGTTTGTTAGGAGATTGTAAAAGAAATCATTCTGACTTTAAAGAGAGAGAGAGAGCATATATCTGTAGCATCAAAGTGCACAAGACCGGAGAAAGCAAAGAGAGTTTTTCCGGGATGTAAGTCACCAATGCACTGTTGAAATTATAAGTAACTGACTATTCTGTGTAAGACGTAACCAGCTGTTTTAAAGAACTGCTTGCGCCTAATCTATTTTTTTTTTTTTTTGTACTACACCCACGCTCGCAGAGGTTGCCTCCTGTATTCTCCAGTGATCAGTAGGAATTTGTCTCATGAGACACAAACAAGCTACACAATTGTAATGCAAATACTGTTGTAAAACTGTTTTTATTTTTGCATAAAAGCTTACTCTGAGCACTATGACCTCGTCAGTGATTCAAAGTGGTCATGGTGCCTGGAGTATGTACGTGCAGCGTTTAACTATGAAATGTGGCACATATAGAGTCTACCACCTTTACTGTGGGAGATACAACTCCACCACTTGTAGCTTTACACAGCAGTCAGTAGCCAGCCGAGAACAAGAGCTGGAACACTGTAGACACCATAACAACTTCAACTAATAAAAGGACTCCATGGGTTTCAGGTCCATCAATCTTAAATGGCTTACTCCTGCCAGTTCACTTTGTTTGTTGGCAGTAATAGTGAGTGCTTGGGTGACCTTCTCAGCCTATCACAAGCTGCTGCCCCTGATATGACGTGGGGTGAGGCTTAACGCCCCCTTCACCATATTAATTACCTGATGTGGTTATAGTGCCAACAGTGTCCCTTTATAAACAATTAATATGACAAATGAGCAATGCTTGTTTGTCTTTACTTTTTAATGTGTGTTTTCCTCTTACGTTTACACCTTACCTTGCAGTAAATATAATACTAATATAATATAACCAAAATGATGGTCCTTCCAGACACAACATTGTGGTAAACGGGGGAACTTGCCAATGAGAAATTGTAAATTTAGTGACACAAGAAACGGGTAGTTTTTAGCTGAAACCAATTCTCCCATTAGTAGCAGGAAGAAAACTAAACACAAACCCCTAAATAAGTCCTTGTATATTAAAACAAGCTATATATAAATTCCCACAAATTATTAAAGATAAACCTCTAACCCCTACACAGTAACAGATGCCAATTACTCACCTTTCTAATAGAAGACTCACTACAGTACAATGAGCGATTTTTCCACTTCACCTATAAGCATCGCAGCACATTAATGGAATGATTTAACAAAGTATTCTGTTCAAAAATGTGGTCTAAAGTTCTCAAACTGGGGCATTGGCCAAGTAAAACATTGAAATTAGCAGGCGCATTCTATTGGCGACTCCTCCACTTTTCCATGTTTGCACCAATTATTAGAACAGAACAATTTGATTAATGTCCACCATTGTGAATCATACATTGATCATCCACAACATTAAAACCAAGTGCCTCATATTGTGTAGTCCCCCTCGTGCTGACAAAACAGCTGTGGTGCATTGAGGAATGAACTCCACAAGACCTCTGAATGTCCTCTGCTATTTGGCACCAAGACATTAGAAGCAGATTCTTTAAGTCCTGCAAGGACCTCTGAGATGTGCGGAATTCAGAGGTCAACGCAAACACCTTCAACTCTGTCATGTTCCTAAACCATTCCTGAACAATTTGGGAGGGTGCATTATCCTGTTGAAACAGACCACTGCCATCAAGCATGACCATTGTCGTGAAGGGGTATGCATGGTCTCTTGGTAGGTGGCACGTGTCAAAGTAACATCCACATGAATGCCAGAACTTAATAAGAACCAGCAGAACATTGACCAGAGCATAACTGCCTCAACTAGCCTGCCTTCTTTCTATAGTGCATCTTGCTGTAATCTCTTCTCCAGGTAAAAAATTCACACTCATCCGGCCATCCACCTGATCTAAAAGAAAATCATTCCAGGCAACTGTCTTACACTGGCTCATGGTCCAGTTCTGACACTCACATCCCCATTGAAGGCACTTTCGATGATGGACAGGGGTCATCATGGGCTATCCCAGTTCCTGATCAGCCTAACAAAACCAATTAAAGAATGTCTGCAGCAAAACATGTGCAGTGAGGATGGATGCCACCTGTCTTGTTCCGTTAATGTTTTTGCAAGGCCTCTGATAGGAAGGGTAAATAATTAGTGATCATTGCAAGTGTGAACAATATTTAGGACTTTCACCAACTCACATGGGCTCTAATAATTGGTTTGTGGAAACTCCCTGCTTTGGTTCAGCTTTTATATATTATATTATATTTGTGTGCCATAGATAGATATGGAGTCATGGACTATCTCATTCATTCGTTTGAACTGATACAATGTTTATGAAGGTACTCTTTTACTATAGCTACATGATGCCTGTCCATGTAAAACAAATGACTAGAGAAAAAGCCACACTTCAAATAATGTATTTATTTTTATGTTCTGTATGTATATATATATATTTTTTTTTATTTTTTTTTCAGTGAGTCACATGAAAATGTGATTTAAAGGGACACTCCATGCATCATGAACAGCAAATATTGTCATGGTTATAGTGCAAAAAGGCATCAGATGTAGGCACTGCCAAGCGTTTCTGATAAAACCAAAAAATAGGAACTTGATAATAGGGAAATTGTATCTACAAGTAAACAAAATACAGCTGCAGCTAATCACCACTAGCCCTTTCGGCAGCTCCAAACTGACACAAGTTCCCTGTAAAAAACTGGTGGGCTGATAGTCATATACCCTACAATAAGCTGTTATGGTGCTTGTAATATTTTTTTTCCCCCTTATAACTGCTAAATGTTATACTTAATAGCATTTAAAAATAATCTTCCTATGTTGTATGTGTTTCTTCATTTTTTTGACGATCATAAATCTACCAAATTATGGCTTTTTCTGCTAATTACAATGTGGAAAAAAATTCTGCATCCTATTTAAATCCCACTTTTGACCACTAGGTGGAGCTGCAAGATAGAACTTATTTTTTTCAGATGACAAATTCAGTTTATTGTGCTTACCAATTTTATTTGTGACAAAATTATATTCACATGTGCATTCTACTCCCAGATATGGTTAATTTGCAGATATGGTTAACATGCTTTGATATCTGCAGTTTTTAAAACAGTTTTGATCCATGTGTTTGTGTGAAAGATAAATGGTCTGTTTACTAAAATAGAAATTGCTGGCATTCAACCGGGAAATTGCGGACCAAATTAATTAAATTTTCACTAAATCATACATTGAGGAGAATTGTCATATTTCTCTCCTTTTTGCTCAAAATCGCAAAGATTTAGTCAATTACCAAAAGTTACAAAAAAAAATCCAGTTTAGATTTTATACATGTTTTTTATTTTTTATTTGTAAATATTACCAATGCGTTTGATCATGTCCTCTCCTTTTCACAAATTTAGTTTAGTAAACATTCCCCCTTTAATAATGCTTCCAAAGCTTCCCTCCACTAGTAGCATTGCTGAATGCTTGGATAAAATGCAGCCAGTGTTGCTTGCTACGCTCGCTATTTTTGCTGCATCAGGGATCTGCCCAGTACACGATTACAGCTGCATTTCCTGATTGCCTTTGGTTGAATACTATGACAAACAGACCTTGTAGCCTTCTACATAGATACAGTTGTGTTTAAGATGTGCCTGATGACTGGGGCTTTCCCAGGATTTATTGTATTTTTATGGCCTGCTTTTAGTCATCTGTGTAACCAGGCAGTCATTTAGAACACGTGTAATTTGTACAGTACTTTTTCTTTAATATACAATTCTAATTATTATTATTTTTAAAGAATGATTTGAGATTTCTGGTGGCATCGCATTAAACGCTCATCCCTTAGACCATAGTTCAAAAGTTCCATTTCACCTCCAATTAAACAAGATTAGATAACTATTGTAAATACCCCCCTCTGCCCCAGTTTTTTCTATGTAGATGTTTAATTACAAAATAAACCTTCCTCATATGAACAAACAACTCATACTGGTCTGTGTGGTCTGTTCTACCAGATCCTAGATCCCTGGTGTGCAGCCTTGGGCCGATCCTTGAACAGTTTTGACTTGTCTCTGGGGAATAGAGAGAGAGCATAGTACAAATTGTGGATGCGGCGTTCATGTACCTCATAGACAAAATTGATCTAGGGAGCTGGATGTGAAAGTTCTGACTGTCTGACAGTGTTCTAAATGATATAAAGCCTCGCAATAATAATAATAATAATAATAATAATCTTTGCATTGTGAGTGAATGTAAGGTGCTCTCTGCACCAATGTTTTGCAAAGATGCAAAATTGTTATGGTGTTTAGTCCATAACATTCATGCAAACTCCATGGATAAATGTTGGTAGCATTATGGCTGAGTGGTAAGTTTCTGGAAAACATCTCACAATAAAAGAGGAAAACTTACTCTAGTTTTTCTCACGAAAAGTGATTAGTCTTAAGAACTCTGACCTCATCCCCACCAGACATCTTTGGGATAAATTGGAACACAGACCGTGATCAAGATTTTATGGACCAACATCAATGTCCAAGCTCAGTACCCTAGTGCAGGGGTAGGCAACTTTTTAGCAGCACTGTGCCGATATAG